GGGTTAGGCCACTTCTTCCTCTGCTTTAGTGACTTTCCCCAGTTCCGTTGGCAACTCCTGCCAACTCAACGCCGGCAGCCATGACACCCACCTTGAACGCGGCAATGGACCATAGAGAGGCGCCGCGATGGCGTAGAAAGGCCCTGCGATGGCGTAGAAAGGCCCTGCGGAGCCGCCGGACGTCTCCTTGGCGCAAGGGAACATGGGATCTCGGAGGACCAAATGCGGCCGCGGTGGCCGCTGCCTCCAGCCCAGGACAAGGTTGTCTTCCACGTAGCCTGCCCGCTTTGGCAGCAGGTGGAAGAACGACCGGAACCTGCTGCGACGCTGCGCTTTCGGCCGACCGCGGCTGGATTTCAGGTAGAGCCGACCCTCGGTGGGTGCCCCCCAAAGCCGGCGTGGCCTGGGAAGGGAACCCCGTGGACTCCTACTCTGTTGGTGAAACCTGAGTGCTTTAATTCTGACTACACTCGCGAAGGCAGCGGTGCGAGGAGACTGGGCGGAGACCCTCCACCGGACAGGAAGTGGACTTTACATAACTTATCACACGTATACAGTAACGATTATTCTACACCCTGTCCAGGGCAGCTCTGTGCCCGGCACTACGGTATTAACTAAGGATACACAGAAGGGATGGGTTGCAAATTCAAGTGTCCAGGCAGCAAACATACTTACATAGATTATCTTCATAATGGAAATGTTCTCTGCTGGCTTTCCAGCTCACAGTTGATACCCTGCCTTCTTTAATATACGAAGAGCTTTATTCATGAAGCCGACCTAACCCATGAAGTTGAAAAAACAGACAATCTCTTTTAAAAATAACTTTTTAGAGGACAGTATGCCAACTTAATACAGAAGGAAAGCTCTTCTAATGTGAACTGTCCTAAGGTATTGGTGGCACTAGCCCTGCAAGGCCCCACCCCTCCCACGGCCGTCAGTTACACAAGTTGGTGCACACACCTGTGTCCTGAATTGCTTGGTTTCCTCCCTAAAGGAAAATAAGTCACGTGACTTACAGGCATTTGCTGCAGTGGTATGTGGACACACACTACCTGGCCAGAGAGACTGCCACAATTTTTACTTTGAAAAGAGCAGGATAGGTCTGCAGGTCTTTTAAGCATAGCACCAAATATACCAGCATCTTTCTCTTCGATTTTATTCACAGCAGGGGCCGCCACAGATTTCATTTCATTTCATTTGTGAGTGGAACATTGGGAATGCCTCCAGTATTTGAACTCTGATGGCACATAGGAATAGTAGCCCTCCCAGAAATCTGAATGCTTTTCAAATAAAATTTGCATCTCGTTCTGGAAGTTTTTATTAAATGTTTTCCATGTAGTTTTTTGAAAGGAATCATTGCCCAGGGGTTAGATGTGCAGGCTCTGGGGCCTGACTGCCTGGATCTTTCATTTATTAGTTGTATGACCTTGGGTAGGTTACTTAACCTCTCTGTACCAGTTTCTCATTTGTAAAATGGGGAATGATAATAATAGTATCTACTGGGCAGGGTTGTTTGGAGGATTAAGTAAGGTAATTTTTAAGTGCTTGGAACAGTGCCTGGTACGTGGTGAGTTCTATTAAGTGTAAAGTTTTAAAATTGTGACATAAAGGTGACCTGCAAGTTATTAATGTGTCTCCCATTATTCTGAGCACCAGGGATACAGCAGGAGAAAAAACACACACAAAGTCCCTGATCTCGTGGAGCTTGCGTTCTACTGGGAAGGAACAGATGAGAAATTAAATGTAATAAATATAAGACAGGTGGTGATGGCTGCTATGGGGAAAATATAAAACAGGGTAAGAATGATATGGAAGGGATGTGGGGAGAAATGGCACTTGTAATATTGTAGATGGTGGTCAGGCAAGGCCTCACTGGTAAGGTGATATTCGAACAGGGACTTGAAGGAAATAAGATAGTGAGACATGTGGGTATCTGGAAAAGAGCAGTCCAGGCAAAAGAAACAGCTGATGTAAAGGTCCTGAGGTAGGAGAATCCTTGCCAGGTTAGAGGATTAGCAAAAAGCAAGGATGGCTGGAGGAGAGTGGGCTGGGGAATGGTGGTAAGCAGTGAGGACCAAGGAGTAAGAATAGGAGAGGGCAGATCACATAGGACCTGGTAAGCCAGTATAGGAACTTAGAGGAGGTTGAGGGATTGCTTTGAGAAAAGGAGCCACGTGAACTTAGGACCTAATTGGGTTCCTGGATGACAGTGAAAAGTTTAGTGTAAATCAAGCTCTTATTTCCTACAGGTGTAAGTTCTCTGGAGTGCCATTTCCATAAACTCATGTTATGCCATAAAGATACTGCAGTTAATGAAGAAAACAAACAAAATATATGTCTTCACATCACGTATTAAGTTATTAACATAAAAGCTACATCCTGAAGTCCTCCTTATGGGGAATTGTTTATAGTGCAATGGACTATGGTCTGAGAGACTTAAAGTTTGGTTCTGATAAATAGCATGATATGATGTTTGGGCTGTGCTTCAGAAAAATGGGGACAGGGTAGGTGAAACAAGAATTGTCAGGACTTGATCATTGTTGATGCTGGGTGATGGGTACATAGGGGTTCATTATAGTGGTCTTTTACTTTTGCATAGATTTGAAAGTTTTTATAATCAAAAGTTGAAAGACATACAAGTTTGATGAAGTTTGGGCTGAAGACACCTCTTCTTTTTCCTACCCAAAACCCCTGTAGCTAATAAGGGTGTTCATCATCACTTAATGAGTAGCAAAATCAGCCCAGCAATATCAAACATACCACATCAGACAGAGCCCATGAACCTGCATGGCTCCCCGTGGTGGGATCCAGGCTGCCCAGCTGAAATTCTGAACTTAGGATTTTTGTAACCTCAACAGGTAGAAGATTTTTTTAAAAAGCTAACAGCAACAACAACAAAAAGTACTACCAACTGCAAACTGGTTTCCATTTCTCGAGGCAGCATCACCAATACTTCTCTAGGGAGAACAGTTCCTTTGTTCTGATGAAACCATCCAAATGTTTTATTTATGCAAATGTGAAGAAAAAAAACACATTTTTTAAAGTAGAATTTAAAATATTAGTCTGATCTTTCCCTCTGAATTTCTAAATATTATGCTTATAATTGCCATTTTCTCATTAATTTTAGACATTACCTTCTCTCTATTACAGAACATAAAAGATTTAGCAGTCTTGTATTACCACATGCCTCTATTTCCCTTCCTTCTGAGCTCCCAATAGAGTGATATCATAATTATTGGTGACATCGCTAATTAAAGTTTACTTTATATGACTACATAAGTGTTGTTCATTGCTGAGCCACATGGTATGCTAAGATAACATTTCCTTTATTTTTCAAACTTCTGTTCTTCCTGAAGTTAACAAATTCCATCTTTTAGATTTGCACAATTTTCTGTTATTACAGAATCACTAATCCTTCTAAAACTTAGCAACAGAATTGTAAAACATGCTCCTAATTCTTCAAGAAAGTATCAAGAATTCTATTATTTGCTTAGACTCAGTCCTTTCTACCCGGAGTCCTCTGTTTCCCTGCTCCACTCTCCCCTGACCTATTCTCTGGGCCTTGTTTTTCTTTCTGGAACCTCGTAGACGCTTCCCTTTATCTGTGATGCTCTGAAATTAATAATGATGTGCCTTGGGGTGGGTTTGTTGTTTCATTAATTATGTTGGGGACTCAGCAAACCCTTTCAAAAACCATGTCTTTTAGTTCTGCAAATTATTTTAAATACTTTTTATTGATGAATGGCCCCTCTCTAGGGAAACAGCTGTTTTTCGGATTATTTTTAATCAATCCGCCTGGTTTCAGTCCACATCTCACCCCCACCTTCCATGATAGGTGTTGCTTCATGTCCTGGGTACTGCTGGATGTCCTTCTCTTTAATACTTGGTATGCACCTTCCTCAGTTCTGCTCATTCCTGTATCAACTTTCTCCGTCTTCCAGAGAAAAGTTCACATTTCTCTTCTGCTGTTGCCTCAACTGGCAGTGACTGCTAATTGTTCCCCAAAGTCTGTTCTCCCCTTTGGGCATAGTAATTGAACCGTCACTTTTTTTTTTTTTTTTTTTTGCGGTACGCGGGCCTCTCACTCTTGTGGCCTCTCCCGTTGCGGAGCACAGGCTCCGGACGCGCAGGCTCAGCGGCCACGGCTCACAGACCCAGACGCTCCGCGGCATGTGGGATCTTCCCGGACCGGGGCATGAACCTGTGTCCCCTGCATCGGCAGGCGGACTCTCAACCACTGCACCACCAGGGAAGACCGAACTGTCACTTTTTACCTGGACAATGGTACAGTAAAAGATGCCAGTGCCCCTTCTGAGCCTGTCACCCCTTTACCGTTTTCATGCACACCTATCCTTGGGGGTCATATAACTGGAAGTGGTGTGTGCAACTTTAAGGAGGTGACCTTAAAGGGCACATGGGCTTTTCCCACCCTCCTTTTGCTTTCTGATTGCTGGAATGCAGATGTAAGCATGGGCACCATAGCAGCTGTCTTAGATCCATGAATTGACATTAGCAATGGAAGCCATGCATGTAAAGCAAGAATACAGAAAGCAGATTCCTGACACTGTGTGATGCCCTATCAGCCCTGGATTGGCAATCTCTACATTTCCTGAAGATGAGAGAGAGAAAAATTTGTAGCGTGTAAAGTCACTGTTATATTAGGTTTTTCTATGACAGTCAAATCTAATCTAATGAATTCATCTCTTCTGCTGGTCTCTCTGTACTTATGAGTTTATATTTTTTTCTTTACTTTCATTTATGTAGTTCCTTTTTTTAAAATTTTATTTATTTTTGGCTGTGCTGGGTCTTCATTGCTGTGCGCGGGCTTTCTCTAGTTGTGGCGAGCAGGGGCTACTCCTCATTGTGGTGTGCAGGCTTCTCATTGCGGTGGCTTCTTTTGTTGCGGAGTACAGGCTCTAGGCACGTGGGCTTCAGTAGTTGCAGCACATGGCCTCAGTAGTTGTGGTGCACGGGCTTAGTTGCTCCGCAGCACGTGGGATCTTCTTAGAGCAAGGATCAAACCCGTTTCCCCTGCACTGGCAGGCGGATTCTTAACCACTGGACCACCAAGGAAGTCCCTTTACTTTCATTTAGGTGGGATTTTGGAAGGGAGTAAATACAGTGATCAATCCTATGTATTTTTTATTGTGAAAAAATATACATAAAATTTACTGTTTTTAATTATACAGTTCAGTGGCATTAAGTACATGCACATTGTTGTGCAATCATCACCATCCATCTCCAGAACATTTTTCATCTCCCTAAACTGCAACTCTGTACCCATTAAATAACAACCCCTTAGCGCCTACTCTACCCAGCCCCTGGCAACCACCATTCTATTTCCTGTCTCTATGGATTTGACCGCTCTAAGGACCTCATAAGTAGAATCACACAGTAATCCTCTGCACTTAACTAAAAGTCCCTGGGAGACGATTCAGATGATTGTTCCAAAAAGCTAAATCTGCTTTGGGTCTGAGAATGTTTTCAATGTTGGAGACAGGGCTACCCTTGTACAGAAGAGAAACACAGCCTTTGGAGAAAACATCTCTTATTTGGAGAAGGCATGAAAGGTGTGGGATCAGCTCCTTCCTGGCCTCTGGCACTGGGTTTGAGCCACTTTAGAGGGGTGAATACCAGAACCCACTGAACGATTTTCTGAGAGACTCAGCAGGACTCTGGGTACCAGCAGAGCTTCTCAGGGCCTGTGTGACAATGTGTGGTTTGGGGCTGAGACAAGGCCATTCCACTCACCTTTGCTTGGAACTTAGGACCCGTCTGGTGCTCCAAGGATTAGGCATTGTTGAGCGTGGTAATTTTGCGTCTTATTTTCTACCAGGTTATTGCTGGTATACAAACAAGCTATTGGTTTTTGTTGACTTATTGACCTCCCTCATTAGTTCCAGTAGCTTTTCAGTTAATTTCCTTGTGTTCTCTAGGTGTACAATCATATCAGCAAATAATTAGGCATCATCCTTCCCGATATTTACACATCATCATTTCATACGATAACATGTTGACAGTAATGAAGGTTCACTTAAAGGTAATGGGAGTGACAGGCCTAAAGAGCTTTGGGAAAGCTGGTTTCAAAAACAGAGAGGCCAAAGGCCAAGTGAACGGGTAAGGTGTTATGGTACATGCTTAAATGTGACATGATGATGTCCTGGACTAGAAGTGGCTGAGAAAGACCAAAGGGAGCTACTCAGGTATTAATCACTACAATTGATGATGTGGATTGACAAGCAAAATATCAATACAATGCTAAGTTTTCAAAACGGTAGTTTCTGACAGTGATGAAAAATACTGCATAAATATAACGGGAAGGAAAACAAAATGCACAAGTGGAAAGTGGGAGCCTTGCCTAAAATTCTGATCTGAGAGAGGTTAAGCAATATACCTTTAGTGTTAAAAATTCAGTTTTTCGGGTTGCTTAAGGTGGACACTGGCATGGAAGGCTCTTTGGTAGAAGATGTAGTTAATGGGCCTTTTAAAAGATTTTTTTTTAAAAAGGCTTAGGATATTCTAGAGGAGAGAATATTCTAGAATCAGATTGTTTGGTGTAATAAAATATAAATACAGTTCAAACTTATCTTTATAAAACTGTACATAAGATTTTGCCTACATCCCAGTTCCAGCTTTTGTTCATTACCCGCTAGCCTCTCCAGCTCTCTCTGTTCTTCAGAGACAAGCAACCACCTCTGTCTGCCCCAGAGTCATTGTGCTTTTTGCTGTTTCCCCAGGCAGTATAGCGCCTCCTCATTTTTCAGGTGTCTGAAAGGCACCTCTGCAGAGGCCTTCCTTGAAACCAGTCTGAAGCAGCACTCCCTCCCAGTTACATGCTATCACATCATTTTGTCTTCCTATCTCACAGAACAAGCATAGCTCTTAACATGTTATGAAGCCATGCTCAGTAATTCAGATGTTTCCTCTGCCTAATGGCCAATCAGAATGCAAGCACCAGCAGAGCAGAGTATCTTAATCATGGCTCTGTTCCAAGAACCCAAAACCATGCCAGGCACATGGTGAACGCACACAGGTCTTGCTGAGTGAGTGAATGAATAAGGAATTGGTTTTCTCTTGTAGCCCATGAGACAAAGGGTGGTTGGGGATCCTGACCCAGGGAGAACTGGAACAATCTTGAGAGAATAAGGTCCAGAGAAGAGTGGCAGTCCAGTTGAAAGAGAAAGTCCTCATAGCAGGCCAATGACCTTTAGGGACAGGGATACCCAAGGGGCAAAGGCAAAGGGGCAAACGAGAGTGTTAGGGTGCCTGGGGGTGAGAAAGAACTCGGCTTCTTTGAAGACCTATAAGGAGGCCTGCTAGGACCATAGTGTGAAAAGGGGAAATGTCAAGAGTAGAGGCGTAAGAGGTCAGCTGGACCCGAATTACCTATAAAATTAAACGATGAGCATTGGCAATGCAGACACAAAATGGATGAAAGGATCCAGAAACACGCAAATCTTCAGGATAAGGACAACCCGAAGTTTGCCTATCCTTTAGAAAAGTTCTTAGCTAACCATAAAATGGGCATTCAAATCAACTTGTACGTTTCATAGGGCCCACAGGTGATGTTGATTACATCAGAGTCATTTGGTGGCATCCAAATTCAATGGATTGGTCCATCTGAGGACTAAGCTATGAAGTTATGCTAAAAAGATGCATGTGATCAATTTGAAATTTTTGTTTCAAAATTCGTGCCCAACCCTAAGTAAAGCTAAAATGGATATACAACGCTCATTATAAAACCTGAGGATTCTATAACCCTCAATCAGTCCAGGTGGATTCCAATTGTTAGTCTGGTGTCCGGAGTTAGATAAAATGAGGAAAAATGGCACGCTTAAAACTGTCACTAATGTGCTCTGCTTGGCTCTCAGGGTTAAAAAAGCAACTGAGCCAACATTTTAAAATCAGATTTCAAATAAAAATATGGACTTCTTAGCCTCTCTTAGAAAAGATCAGAGGATCCAGTAACAACGGGCCTTCCGGCAGCACTTGCTGTAGCTGGAATGGAGAATCAGTGGCTTCCCCTGACCTGCTTCATTCATCACCACAGCCATAAAAAAATGCTTCTCAAATTCACTCTGCATGTGAATCCCCTGGGGATCTTGTTAAAAATGCAGGTTCTGATCCAGTAGGTGGGAGTGTGGCCTGAAACTCTGCATTTCTCAGAAGCTCTGAGGGTGTAGATGCTCCAACCATACTTTGAATGCAAAGCTATAAATTAACAATAAACACAAATAAAAACAGAAGTAAAAAAGCAAACATTATCTTTATTTAATAATCTTTGATATTTAAAATACAACTCATCGAACATCCACATTAACAACAGTATCCTCAGTGTTCAACAGTGCTTTGGAAGCCCGGCTTTTCTAAGGACCAGACAGGAAGGCCTGTGTGTGTATTAACGGCAAAACAACTCAGACAGAGGAGCACACACAGAAGGGCTGCAGAGTTGGGTCCTGAGAAATGGCACTGCCACAGTGCACTTGTGTCATGGCCAAAAGAATGCTTTTTACTTCAGATGTTTTTTGGTAGCTGAATTTCAAAGTTTATTTGTACAGAACAGTGATTTTTAAAAAGTTATTCCTAGTAGTCCAGTGTTGTAGAAATTAGATAATCACATTCAAATGTATATTTTCCTCTTTAAAAAAAATTCCTGAAAACATTCACCTTTGAAATATGAAGGAGCCAAGTGAAGTGCTTCCTAAATGAATCAGGCATTTCCACATATATTTCACTAATGCTTCCCATTCCTAGTCTATGAATCCATAGTCTTAAAATATTTATTGATACACTATTATAATTAAACATGCCAGTTGCTATAAATTTAGAAGTGGTTACTAGCATTAATTCTTAAAATGCCAGACCATTTTGTAAAAAAATTAAAATAGCAGAGGTTTTCTTCAAATTAAAAAACAAAAAGATAAAAATTCAAGAATTAACCAACCATGTCAATAATCTTTCATTCATGAGAGCAAAATGGAACAAAAATATTTTATGTATAAGACTTTAAAAAACAAGTTGGTTCATCTCTTTAGCAAAAGATGACGGTTATAAATGGACCAGAAAAGAAGCAAAGTTTTTATTTTGAAAATATGAAAAATTACTTATATTGCTGAAATGATTAGTTAATCAATCTGATTTTTCTTAATTAAGGTCACATCTGTAACATCTCCATGCTTGTTAGGGCCCAGCTACAACAAACAATTTACTTTGAAAGTAGTGGCCATAGACCTCTCCAATTGCAGGTAAAGTTTTTAATAGAAAGTCATCAATATTAATAATTGAATCCTCTTAAGAATTTAAAACATCAAGATTTAGTTTTCATTCTAGGCTATTTCAATTATTATCATTATATTTTGCTTATGCACTGAGAATCAATCATTTTTGAATTTGCACAGGTCCAATGGGCCAATTTTAAGACATTTAGTAAATCTTGGAACTAACTTGATACTATTTAAAAACAGTATCAAACATGCAGACATTAAAAATGTGACTTAAGCTCTTACTGGCATAAAATTTACTTTATTTGACTTAATATTAAATGAAACAATGTAGACTATGGGTAGTTTTGCCTATAGTGACCCTCAACTAGTTGAGTTTTTCCTCGTTAACTTTGGCATGAATAAAGTCTTAATTAAGAAAAATTAAGTTTTAAAGATAAAAAGCACCTCCTTAAATATTCTGCAAATTGTAAACCATTTGGCCAAGATCTTAGAGCTGATATACAGTTTACCTGCAGCAACCTTTTCAAACAATTTTTTTTTTTTTTTTTTTGCGGTACGTGGGCCTCTCACTGTTGCGGCCTCTCCCGTTGTGGAGCACAGGCTCTGGACGTGCAGGCTCAGTGGCCATGGCTCAGGGGCCTAGCCGCTCCGCGGCATGTGGGATCTTCCCGGACCGGGGCACAAACCCGTGTCCCCAGCATCGGCAGGCGGACTCTCAACCACTGTGCCACCAGGGAAGCCCCCTCAAACAATTTACATTACTGAAATATTCGTATGTTAATTACTATAAAAATGTACATTGATGGTTTAGATCAGATGTTAACTTCTCTGAATTTTTAAAACATAAATAACTACTTATTAAATCTATGACATCTGTAAGTATGAAAGTGTTATTTCCAAAGATTGTTTAAACTTTACTTATAATACTAGCATTGTCATGGTACGTATTTTATCCCGGTAATACAAATTATACATTAGAAAAATGATACCAATAGTTTAAATATTAAACATTAAGATGTTCCCAATTGGTAAAACAGAATGGAAATCTTTATATAAATAAAGTTCTTAGGACAGTGAATTGCATTGTTCCTGACTTGCAGGTGGTTTAAAGTAAACAGCACTTCCTGATGTGTGAACTATAGCTTTGTGTAACTTTAAAATTTTCTTACTGTGGTTATGAGCACTGGCATCTTTTCATACTGGCCAACTGATTAAGAAATGGAATCTAAATGTTCAGTTAAATATATGCCAATCCACACAAGATGGCAGTTCACTAGTGATTCTGAATCTGCCTGCCAAATATAACAATTTCACAACTAAATAAACACATTCAAATATATCCAGTGTGTGCTCGGCCCTGCTTTAAAAAAATCCCTAACAAACGAAGGTCAACATGCCACATTTCTTTAAGTGCTTTAACAAGGGTGTGTAACATAAGAACTAACCCTAACTCTTAAGGTTAAAACTTATATGTATATTCATTTTCTCATTTTTATATTAGGTAGCTCATCAATTCAAATATATGAAAAGTTTAACATAATTTTTCAATGGGAAAAGATACAGGCCGAATATCCATGGAAAATATGACTGGCATCCTTGGGATAACTACAGAAATGTCCAGTCTTAAAATATTTTGGTTTGTAAATCATAGGGAGTAGTAGGGAGTAGTATCAAACTCCAACATCCCTTGTAGTTCTAAAGTTTTGTAATTCTTCTAAAACATTTTCAATTGTCAAAAGAAAACTTTAGATTTTAAAAGAAAACCATCTAATTTTATGTAAGGGAAACTTCAGAAAACTTACTTGGCACAAAATAATGACTAAAAAAAAATCTGTCTCTATCCAAGAAAAAGCTATTTCATAATCATAAATAAAAGGCAGTTTTTCATCTCTTTTCAGTTAGCAATAAATCCTACATCAAAAATTTTTCCCTGATAAAATGTGTGTAGCCATACACCAGGATATGGCAACATATCATACTTTAATTTTCTAAGTTGTCCGCTGAAATTTCTTCTTTAATTTTAGCTTATGAACAAGTCATCATTCAAAGGGGCTTCAAAAGGGGATGGAGAATGAAGGGGAGTAGATGACAGAATTTAAAAGGCCCATTTCAGAGAGACATGGTTAATTTTCACTGAAATCACCCCACTGCATTGACCCAGCAAGAAACTCTGCATCCCAATTAAAGAATGTTTATCAAAACTAAAGACTTTCTTATTTACAGACCCAGTAAGTACTGTGACTTCTGTAATTCTAAGCTATTTAAACATGATGCACGTGTTAAATCACAGTATAAATTTAAATGTAGTTTTGTTGGTAAGTTATTTTCATGTTCTAGATCATTATCTCTGGCAAACTATACCTACTAAAAGATGTACAGCAGAAGCAGACATCTGCACTTCATGACTCAATTGTAAACAGAACAGACAGCTCCAGTCACAAGAGGAAAAATAAAATGAAACTCCTACGAAAATTGAAGGCCAAATTTTATCTATCATACATTCATGGTGGGCACCGGATGTTGTTTTATAACAGTAGGAAACTTGCACACTATGCTTCTCCTATTTTTCTCAATTGGAAAAGAAAAGGAAATAACAAGGTGCAGGAAAGAGGGTTACAGCAAACCTATACAGTTCTGAAATAACTGAGAAGACATTCACAAAGCATTTGGGAAAGGATGTGCTCACACATTAACAAAATTCTCATTTATTCTCAAATACTTGTGCAGAGCTGATTTCAGAGTTTAGGAATGCACCAGAATCATGAAATAATGATCCCATCTTAGAGGGCTTAAAAAGCAAAACCTCAAGAAACATTACCATCTTTCAAAAGAGTTGTAGAAAGTAATGAAAACCACGTAGCAGAGAAACTGTGATCAGAGAAAATAACATGAGAAAACACCCAAGTGCACAATACATAGTCAGAGGGTAAACAGCTTAGCCTTCTGGAACTGTTACTATTATCAACACAGAGGAGACACTGTCCTAAAAGGTTAATTTGGTTAAAGAGAAATAAGAGCAACTTTTAGATGATGAAAGTCAGCCAAATTCCCTATGCAGAAGGGAGGAAAAGAAGATAAAATGTGGGGGAAAAGTTCTGTGGCAATAGCTGGTTATAATTAGTTGGTCTGCAAAAAGAGCCAAGAAAAATGCCCTAATTTTAAACATGTTAGATATTGCACACTCAAAAAAGAAAAAAGAACAGTTAGAAAACTATTTTAAATTTCTTTAATTGCTGAATGCCTCTTTGGCTAGTGTTTGGAGGATCGTTATTTAGTCCTACAACGGATGTATTTTTCACCCTCTCAACTTTTTGTTTGCAAACCACCTAAGTCTTATTTCCTCTGTTGAAAATTGTTCTCTTTGACACATTACCAAAATGGACCCTATGCTGTAAACACACAGGACAATATTGGAAAGACTGAATATCTAAATGATTTGTGAAAGGTATTATTTTTTTCCTTCCGTTTTGAAATTACTTCTAACAGTTTCTAAAGACATGGTCACAGCTGCCTGAAGCATGTCTTCTTCACTCATAGCATCACCTGTTGGGGATAAAACACATATTTCTTAGAAATTTCTAGAAAATTTCCAAAGTCATCAAAAGGTAAGCTCTTAGAAACTGTTTGACTACTATAGTTTCCTTTGTTGATTTTAAAAGTTTACATACAATAAAATCCACTTTTATAATTCTGTAAGTTTTGACAAATACGTAGAGTGGTATAACCATTATCATCACCCAGCTACAGAACCGTCCCACTGACCAAAAATATTCCCTCGCCCTGCCCCTTTGTAATCAATCCCCAAGCCCTACGTCTAGGCAACCACTGATCAGTTCTCTGCCCTACAGTTCTGCCTTTTCCTGCATGTCAACACAAATGGAATCATCATTATGTATGTAGCCTTTCAGTATGGCATCTTTCACTTAAAAGCATTCAGCTAAGGGGAAGAAAGTTTAACTTTCTATCGATGATGAATTAGTTTAAAAAAGTTTGTTCTGCGAAATAATTATTTACTCACAGGAAGGTGCAAAGATAGTTCAGAGAGGTCCTGTGTACACTCTGGCTAAATTTCACCTAATAATTAAATCTTACATACCTACAGCTCAAACCTAAATCTGAATATTGGGACTTCGTCATACATGTAGATTCGTGTAACCACTGCCACTGCAATCAAGACAGAGAACTGTACGGCACCATCAAGATCTCCCTCCTGCCATCCCTTTTGAGTCACACCCACTTCTCTTCCCCCCGACCTTCCCTAACTGCAGGCAGCCACTAATTTGCTTTCCATCTGTATAAATGTCGTTTTTAGAATGTTACACACATAGAATCATACAGTATAAGATCTTTTGAGATTTTTTTTTGCACTCAGCATAATGCCCTTGAGTTGCATCCAAGCTGTTGCATGTGTCCACAGTTGGTTTCTTTTTAATCCCGAGTGGTATCCATGGTATGGAGGTACCGCAGCGTGTTTAACCATTCACCTACTGTAGGACATTTGTTTTTTTCCAGTTTTTGATCATGACAAATAAAGCTGCTATGAACATTCATGTACAGGTTTTTGCATGGATGGAAGTTTTCATTTCTCTGGTATTAAATGGGAATATAACTGCTGGTTGCATGGTCAATGTATGTTCAGTTTTTATAGAAATTACCAAATTATTTTCCAGAGTGGCTATACCAGTTCAAATGAAAGTTAGAAGTCTTACCTCCCTTTAGTTTCCCCTGTTTATAACTACCTTAAGTACTTCCTATATTTTACGCTAAAAACCAAATCAATGTTACAATTCTTCCTTCAGTTATCAAATGTAATTTAGAAAACTGAAAAGGAAATTCTGTTGTGCTTACCCATATTTTTATTCTTTCTACTGTTCTTTGTTCCTTCTTGATGTTTCAAAATTACTTTTTAACAGTTCTGTTTAGAGAACTTCCTTTAGCCATTATTTTCCCCTTCATTCCTGAAGAAAATTTCATGAATTCTGGGTTGAGACTTCTCTTCTTTCAGCACTTGAAAAATGTCTGTCACTCCCTTCTGACCTCCACGATTTCAGATGAGAAATCTGATGTCACGCAAATTGCTGAAGGCAAGCTGTTTCTAGCTGATTTTAAGATTTTTTTTTTTCGTCTTCAGTTTTCAGAAGTTAGACTACGATGTGTTTTGGCATGGATTTCTTTGGGTTTATTCTGTTTGAGGTTCATTCAGCTTTTAGAATCTGTAGGTTGGTACCTTTTGCCAAATTTGGGGAATTTTCAGCTATTATTTCTTTAAATACTCTTTCAGCTCTACCCTCTTTCTCATCTCCTTCTGGAACTCTCATGGCACAAATGTTAGATCTTCCCCACAGGTCTCAGGCTCTGTTAATTTTTTCCAGTCTAATTCTCTTTGTTGCTCAGAATGGGTAATATCTACTGTTCTGTCGAGTTCACACTGATTCTTTTCTCTGTCCTTCCATCCACCTGTTGGGTCTGTCCACTGAGTTTCAAAATTTCAGTTATTGTTATTTTTCAGTTCTAAAATTTCTATTTGGTTCTTCTTTATATCTTCTATCTCTTTCCTAAGGCTATTTTTTTCAGTTGTTTCAAGCATGTTCATTACTGCTCACTGGAGCATTTTATGATGGCTGCTAATTTAAAATCCTTGCCAGATAATTCTAACATCAGTGTCATTTTGGTGATGGTGTCTACTGATTGTCTTTTCTCATTCAAGTTGAAATTTTCTAGGCTCTTGATATAACAAGTGATTTTTAAGTGAATCCTGGATATTTGGGGTATTATCTTATAAGAATGTGAATCTTATTTTTTTTAATAAATAAATAAATTTATTTATTTATTTATTTTTGGCTGCGTTGGGTCTTCGTTGCTGCACGCAGGCTTTCTCTAGTTGTAGCGAGCGAGGGCTACTCTTTGTTGTGGTGCATATGGGCTTCTTATCGTGGTGGCTTCTCTTATGGTGGAGCATGGGCTCTAGGCGCATGGGCTTCAGTAGTTGTGGCACACAGACTCAGCAGTTGTGGCTCGTGGGCTCTAGAGCGCAGGCTCCGTAGTTGTGGCGCACAGGCTTAGTTGCTCTGCGGCATGTGGGATCTTCCCGGACCAGGGCTTGAACCCGTGTCCCCTGCATTGGCAGGCGGATTCTTAACCACTGTGCCTCCAGGCAAAGTCCCGTGAATCTTATTTAAATCTCCTCTTTCAGCAGGCCTCCTCTGACGTGAGCACCAGTGGCAGAAAAGGGGTGGTGCCCTGCTGCTTCCAGATGGGGAGAGGGTGTGTGTGACCACTACTGTTGAACATCCGTGGGAGTTCCGGCTTCCCACTGATACCTGCCTGATTGGGAGGGGTTGGAATGCCTCGTTACTGCTTCTCACTGGCACTGTGGGGGTGGTCTCCTCATTACTGCCTCAAATCAGTGATGGCCTGACTCTCCACTACACCTCTTCTGACATCACCCAGGCGACAAGCCAGAAGGATGCCTCTTTATTGCTGGGTGGAAGTCCAGGCTCCCTAAGACCACTGACACCATGGGAAAGGGGGCATCATTGTCTCCTGGAGGAAAAGAAAATCCCAGCTCTCCACTTGGCTTTTTCTGACACCACTCTGGCCCAGAGAGGCGGGAGATGTGCCTCATTACGTTACTTGGCCTTTGTCAATGGGGTAGGGTGGCAGTAGGACCAGTTTATTTACCTAGTCCAGGCTGGCTGGACTAGAGTGTTTATTATCTAAAAGTTTTTGTCTTGCCAAGTATTCCCTTTTCGCTCCATAGAGCAGGCTTTTCTTGGGGCAAAAAGAAAATCCAGAATACTGACCACTATGTCTTCCTCTAGTCCTGAGCTTCTCAGCCCGTCTGTCTTCTACCTTTCAGATTCTTCTTATATTTGTTTTATACAAATGTCTGGGGTTGTTAGCTATACTTAGCAGAATGATTAGGAAAAAGTACCCATTCATTCCTTTTTATTGCTAATAGTAGTCCACTGTTTGGATGTAGCACAATTTCTGTGGCATGTACCAGCTGAAGGACAACATGTAAGCAGTTTCCAGTTTGGGGCTATTACGAACAAAGCTGCTGTAAGGACTCATGTACAAGATTTTGTGTGAACCTAAATTTTCTTTTCTCTTGGTTATATACCTAGGAGTGCGACTACTGGATCACATGGTTAAGTGTACGTTTAAGTTTTTAAGAAAATACTAAACCGTTTTCCAAAATTGCTGTACCATTTTACGTTCCTACTAACAATGTATGAGTCCCAGTTGCTCTGATTCTTGCCGCATTTGGTATTGTTAATTTTTTATTAAGCCATTCTTGTAGGTGTGTAATGGTGTCTCATTGTGGGTTTAATTTGCATTTCCCTAATGACTAGTGATGTTGAGCATGTTTTCATGTGCTATTTGTCATCCATATATTTGGTGAAGTGTCTGTTCAAATCCTTCACTCATCTTTTTGAATTGTTTTCTTATTTTAGTTTTGAGAATTCTTTACATATTCTACTTAAAAGTTCTTTGTCATGTACAGTTTCCTTCTCACTCGATTTCTACTACCAATAATTGGCCAAAGTTTAAGACCTATTATTAAACCAAGGCCTGAGGAGTAACTCTAGATTTCTTTGTTGTAATCTGGACTACACTCAGGTGTTTTCAGTTTTCCCAGTGGTAAAATGAACTTATTTTCCACCTACTAATATTCATTATCTCTGAGAAACTTTTGGAGAATGTACGAATTACTGTGAAGTTGCAAGTGATGTTTACAATTTTAAAGCAAAACATTGCTTAAGTGCTTCAAGGGCACTTAAGGATACACACTAAGGAGTCAGCCTACTCCTTAAGCCAAGAAGGTTTGGTACATTACCAATTCCTTCAAGAGTGTCAATATAATGAAAGCGAGGAGAAAAAAAAGCCTATAAAGCCAAAAATCACATGGAGTCTGGGTGTCAAACAGAGCATGCAGGTAACAAATGGGATATGCGATCAGAGAGGCGTACCTAGATCACTGTCAAGTGCTCCTGAACTTGTGTTCGGCTTTTCACATGGATGTCCTGGTGGATCTTGCTGCTGCTGCTGCTGCTGCCTGAAACATTCAAGAGTGAATGTGTATTTAAAAAACAAAACCTAAGAATAAATATGCCACGAGAAAAAATATTCACGTGGAAAATAAACGGTTCCACACAACAGAAGAGTCACTGGCATGAACACCACAAAAGAAGGCAAGAGCAAGCAGTCTGATAGAAAACAAACTTATGGTTACCAAAGGGGAAGGGGGGGGAATAAATTAGGAGTTAGGGATTCATAGATACACCTACTATATATAAAATACATAAACAAGATCCTACTGGATAGCACAGGGAACTATATTCAATATCTTGTAATAACCTCTAATGGATGTAATAACCTCTAATGGAATCTGAAAAAGAATATATATATCTAAAACTCAATCACTTTGCTCTATATTTGAAATTAATACAACATTATAAATCAACTATACTTCAATTTAAAAAAAAGAGCAATCAGTCTCATATAAATTACTGAAAAGCATCACAGTTCTGATCCTAGAAAACTTAGAAAATTCGAATTTATCAGGCAAATTAATGGGTAGGTATTTTCACCACAAAAATAACACATTGTACAAAAGGAGTCACTGGTAGCTATTTCGGGGTTTTTTTTTGTTTTTTTTTCCGGTACGCGGGCCTCTCACCGCTGCAGCCTCTCCCGTTGCGGAGCACAGGCTCCGGACGTGCAGGCTCAGCAGCCATGGCTCACGGGCCCAGCCGCTCCGCGGCATGTGGGATCTTCCCAGACCGGGGCACGAACCCGTGTCCCCTGCATCAGCAGGCAGACTCTCAACTACCGCGCCACCAGGGAAGCCCTGTTGCTTATATTTAAAACACAGGATTAAGAGGGACCCCGGTCCGGGTCTGTGGTATTCAGAGCTGGAGAAGGCATTAATAACACTGACATATACCTGTAGGCTACTTCACAGTTTACAGAACAGTTTTACACACTGCCTCATCTGATGCACATAACATGTGAGTTAAGGTTTTACAATGACATAGCTGACACAGCAGAGTTTTGCTCAGGGTTTTATGATAGGTACCATGGATTTGGAGATTACCACTGGAAAAAATATCATGGCTACGAAAATATCAGTTAACAACTCTTACTCATAAACTATGAATTTGCAACAGGTAGACTTTCAACAGCATTTTCATGCTTAATGCATGAACACTGTGGCTACTATATTAAGTGTGAAGCTTCAAACACTCTACAGGAAAAAAAAACAACCTATACATTTCAATGAAAAACAAATTAGCACCAGGGTCAGTTTGGAAAGAATCAGAGGGAAGAAACGGCTCCATAACCTTAGAGCCAAGTTCTCCAAAATAGAAGGTATTGAGACAAGGACCCATATAGGTGTAGTAATCAGGAATTCTACTGAAAAGCAAAAATTAGTTTCTCAGCTCCTTCACTAATGAGTCCTACAAGATTCTGAATGCTAGCCAAAGTTAAAAAGAAACCCCAAGAAGTTAGCTCTTAACTCTAGTCAGCAACAAGTAACTGTAAAATATTCTCTAGTTCTACTCAAGTTCTCACCAGTATTTTCAAGGCCAAACCAGGAGGCAGAGGATAGTAAGGCGAAGCTGGAAACCATCACAGTACTTTCTTACCCAATCAACTGCCCCCAGTCAGAAAGGAGACTCAAACATTTAAAAAAGGGTGCAACGTTGAATAAAACACCTGCATTAGTTATAGCTGGCATTGCGCTTGTTATAACTTACTTAGTCATTATGGAATGTTACTGCATTATCCTTCGTATTCTAAAAAGTTTAACTCATTGGAAATTCTACATTTTTAATCCAAAAAAATCTAAAAACCTTTTTTTAAAAAAAAGAGGGATTTGTTTTTATATTTTAAAGACATTTTCTTTTTCTTACACGTACTTGTGAATTTTATAGTTTCTCTATAAAGTATGTCTGTTTGGACCATTTTATTCTGGAAAAAATTGAAGTCTGAAAAAAAGCATGGCAGAAGTATCACTTGGAAACTGTTCTGGAGAGCAGTTTAGAAATCTGTACCAAGGCCTTAAAAATGTTCATGTCCTTTAACTTAGTAATCTGAAATTCTCAGAATAATTAGCAGAAATGATGAGAGATTTGAGGCATAAAGTCAATACAAGGATTGTTCATTGCATTATTAATTATAATAGCAAAAATCAAAAGGTTCATAAACTGTGATACATAAATTCATTTTATGAAATATAACATAGCCTATTACAAAGAATATTTAGTATCATGGGAAAATGGGTATAACTGATATACAATATATGGGCGTTTGTGTGACTAGAAGCGTATGACTGCCAAAACACTCACATCAGTTATTAAAGGTAGGATTATGTTTTTTTAATTTAGATATTTCTAAAAATAAAATTTCCAAAATATTATTTTTTATCGATTTAAAGCTATTTTTAGCAATAACTAGATAGCTGATGATATTATAGAACTACCATTAATAATCATCATGTGATAATTATTCCATTATTGTATGACAAGAGCATTTGGCTATATTAAGAAAAAAACATATATTTTAGAGACACACACAGAAATTAATACAGATGCAGTAGGATGATTTAGATTTGTTACAAAATAATCCCACCCTGGGGCTGGGAGAGTAGAAAGCATGGGAGATGGGGGCATAAAAAAAAACAAGATGGCCCATGTGCTGATACCTGTTAAATCTGGGCAACAGATAAACAGGGGTTCCTTATGCTGGTTTCTCTACTTTTATATAAATTTGAAGTTTATCATAATTAAAAAATAAAAAAAGTTAATTTTAAAATTTAAAAGGGAGTGACAAGCACTAATAAGCACTATTTTGAAATTTTATACATAATTAAATCCATTAATCTATCACTGAATAAAGACTAGAAATATCTCACATTAAGAGGATGTCAGTTGATCAGAACTTTCCTTCATATACTTCTGAGCTGTGACTTAAAAAAAAAAAACAGAAAACAAAGTAAATATTATCTTCATTATACCATCAAATGTAAAATGCTCTAACATTCTATATACTACTAAAGTACTACCAACTCTGATGTGTACGAGTCTTCTGAATTGCAGAGATGTTGACATGTGAAAAAATGTGCACCTTAGAATTGTTGAAATATAGTAAATAATAGGCCAGACTCAGCCACTGGCCTTTGTTTTCTGACCTGGGATCAGAGGATCTGAGTATCATTATAGATCTTGTGATCTTAAGATGAAGTTATATCATTAAAAAAAGAAAAAGGGATGAAGACGTGAGTGACAGTTACTGGAAAGGATAATTTTATAGGTGAAATTTCTATTTTGAAAGCACTTATAAACCTGGGCACAAAGTTAGGTTTTAGGAGCTGATGATTCAGATTTATGGTTACCCTCATGTCCCTGATGCTGATGGGCCTGCAGTACCCCGCTACTGTGGCAATGAGTGGAGCAATTAACCATCACTTCTATTTGGGGGTGTGTTCCCCTACCGCAAATGCTGTTTTTCCTATTAATTCACAGGAGAACTTCGCAGGGTTGGTCCAAGTAACCAAGAAGTACATTCAAAGGATCATTAGGCTTTGCTCTTGCCTTGACCCAATTCCATTTTCCTTTTGATGACGAATTTTACAGGGTTTCCTTCACGCTATTTCATGTAAATTTAATTAGTACTGGGGCAAAGTTTTCCCCTAAAACTATATTTGATTTCACAGTTTATTAGCTACAAATTTTTATTTTTATTTATTTATTTATTTATTTATTTATTTTGCGGTACACGGGCCTCTCACTGCTGTGGCCTCTCCCGTTGTGGAGCACAGGCTCCGGACGCGCAGGCTCAGCGGCCATGGCTCACGGGCCCAGCCGCTCCACGGCATGTGGGATCTTCCCGGACCGGGGCACGAACCCGTGTCCCCTGCATCGGCAGGCGGACTCTCAATCACTGCGCCACCAGGGAAGCCCTAACTACAAATTTTTAAAAAATACATTTAAATGCTCATAGGGTCAGGCAGTAACCAGTATTTTAAAAAAGGAGAGAACCCTCAATAAATGGTTTAAGTCAAAGCTGTATGTTTACAAATAGACAAAACAGCCAAGGTAAATATTAAATATGCAATTTTAATATTGTACCAACTACTTTACTTTTCAAAGTAGGCTTCTCTTCTCTTCCGTAGCTCTTCTGAAGTAAGATGTGTACCTGACGTCTGTGGAGTATCTTGACATATATTTCTGGAAGTACCTGAAAACAAAATAAAACAGAACAAAATACTATTTTATTTACCAATTCAAGCAATAATATGTTTATACTTATGTGAAGGAACTTTTGGTAAGTTTTGTTCTCAAAAATATTCTGTACCATTCTGTAAATGTAAGAAAGGCTCTGAAAGTCTCAGGGAGAATCTGAATAAGGCAGTTCAAATCTAACCTGTGTCCACTGCAGCCAAAGCTGTTACCCATCTGTGATGTAGTGGATGTGAGGAGGTAAGCCCAACGACCAACTTGGCAGGAGAAATAATTAACGCCACACTTGTGTGCTCTCTTATTAGAAACGAATCTGCACTTTCAAAGGCAAAGAATTCCTAGAAGCAACTCAAAGTGGGTGATCATAAAACAAACTCATTCTCTGCATCCCTCTATCCTGAAACATTTGGGTACTACAACAACTTAAGTATGTTTCCATGTTCTCACTTCATTATTGCACCAATCAGAGATTCTGCACAAACTGTGAAATAAAGTGGAAAGGAAAGGAAAGTACACAGAAATATCTGAAACTATTAAAGCTGGTGTCTGTCCATTACTGGGCTAATCTAGCAAGGCTCTACTAATCCAAAATGGGCCTGCACACCATATGGACTACTCATGAGCCTCCTGGCACACCTGTGAATTCCTTATTTAGATACTTAAGGAATTCAATTGACAAGTAATTTCATTAGAAAGTAGAAGGCAAATTCACATTAGACAAAATCAAAACTATCAAAAAAGAAAAAGAAAAGAAAACCCCTCACACTTTTAAGTAAGCCCCTTTGAACAACATCCCAGACAACTCCCTCAGCTTGGATTCCCTGAGGGATGCATCTTTACTCTCAGCTGATGGGCTTATATCACTAAAAAAGTGGGCTCACCGAAGTGGGCTTAAGCTGTAAGCTGCACAGCCACTAATTGTTAGAGTTTTGTAAAATCAATTTACTTTCTCTGTCCAGGCCTTCCTTCGTGTGCACTAGCATACATTTTTAGAACAGTTGGTCTGGGTAAGGGCCCACTGACCTCACAATGATTAACCTCAGTTTGCTACTGTGTTAGCACAGTATCATAACCAAGTGGAATAACCAGAAATAAAAATAAAACTAGTCCTAATATAACACAAGTCGTAAAAAGTTGTTTTAAAAGAAATCTAAAAAACAATAACTGATTGTACATAGCTATTGCTTCTGCAGTGATTGTCCAAGAACTTCTACCAATAGTACATTAACTTCCAGAAGAACTAAGAATGATCTGAATCAATTCTTCAACAGTGAATAAAGTATGTGTTGGAATGTCCATACCTTGCATGCTGAGCTGAATGGCCCTGCGGAGATCTGCTTCTTCATCTTCCAAGTCAATTTCTTGGCGACTTAGTGCCAGAGCCCTCTGCAAATCCTCCTCATCTTCGTCTAACATTCCTGATCCATCGTTTGCTTCTAAGACGCGTTCTAGATCTGTTTTCTGGACTCTAAAGAAAAAAAGCACTAAAAATAACTGCAGACCACTCTTCTATTTTAGATATAACAGAGACATTTATAAACCAAAGATTTTTATGTAAGTCAAAACTTACACATTTTCTGGCAGATAAGGTCTAATAATATAAAGGTTTTACTGTGATGTGAATCTAAGTATATTTAAATAATTCAGAGTTGATCCATGGTTAAACCAATAAACTTCACTAAAACATAAAGGTCTAAAAAAAATCACCAATAATAAAAGGACCTCATCTTCAGTGTAAGCACGAAAATTTAATTTTTGTAATGAAATACTATCATATATTCCATACTGCAAGCTCAATTTTACCTTTGTTCTTTGAGTTGTGCTAATTCTTCTCCAATAAGTTTTGGTCGATGCATCTGTTGGACCCTGATCATCTGTAGGAGTTGGTCAGCTTCACAGTCTGGCAGATCACCCTTAACAACAAATATAGAATAACCTAAAAAAAAAAAAAGGCAAAAATAAACTAAAACAGTTAGCAAGTGATTCAAAATTGATTAAAAATGACAGCAGGGCTTCCCTGGCAGCGCAGTGGTTGAGAGTCCACCTGCCGATGCAGGGGACACAGGTTCGTGACCTGGTCTAGGAGGATCCCACATGCCGTGGAGCGGCTGGGCCCGTGGGCCATGGCCACTGAGCCTGTGCATCCGGAGCCTGTGCTCCGCAACAGGAGAGGCCACAACAGTGAGAGGCCCGCGTACCGCAAAAAAAAAAAAATGACAGCAGATAGAGAGGCAGCACAGAGCAGTGGAGTGAGGACACAGACTGAGGAGTCAGGAGTACCTGGGTTCAAATAATGATTCTTACGCTTACTAGTGGGGTGATCTAGAACAAATTACATAGTCTCTGAACCTTGCTTTCTTCACTTGTAAAATGGGAAGAGCCATCTCACAGAGTGACTATGAGAAATAATCGAATCTGTAAAGGGATCTACTAAAACAGTGCCTGACCAAGTAGGTTACACTAAATGATACCAGAGAGGCAAGGAAAGGAATAAGGAAGAGCAAGGAATCTGGAATCAGATGACCTGGGTTTTAATCCCCTATCTATTTCCTAGCTGCCTGGCCTCTGGTAAACCCCTTTACCCATCTAGGTCTTGGTTTCTTCAACTGCTACATAGATTATACTGTACCTTCCTCGGAGGGCTATTTGAGGACACAATCAGAGGATGTGTGTAATAATGTGTAATATGGGTAAAATGAGTCATCTGTGGAAACAGCTGCCCCTGACCCTGACACTGACACATACACATCCCTCCAAACTGAAAACAGGAGCTGGAAAGCCAATATCCCAAATCTAGTCAAGGTGTTGAAGATGCAGTTCATGTTTTGAAAAAATTACACCGGCCCAGTGTAATTTTTTATAAATACGATTCTAGAAAGCCAGGGTTTTCCCAGCTGGATACGCCACACAATAGCTAAATAAGGGTGGGCTACACCTAAGTCACTCTAATCAATTTATGTTTTTCTTCATTTCTTATTTTTGGCTGCACCACGTGGCATGTGGGATCTTAGTTCCCCGACCAGGGATCGAACCCGTGCCCCTACATTGAAGTGCAGAGTCCTAACCACTGGACCTCCAGGGAAGTCCCTCAATTTACATTTTTCTACCATAAATTTTCTTCACCTTTGGTGCTTGTTATGGATATTCTTTGTGAACACTAACAGATAATGAAACAAATGAACAAAGATGAAAAGGACTGTTAATGGAAAAACTCAAAAGAGTAAATCATAATACACTTAACATTTGTTTCTCACAAGGACAAGTGTGCTCAGAGTTCAGATGGTTTAACATGTTTTACACCAATAAAATTGTTTCTAGATTCTAGAATAAACTATGTCAGCTCGCGATGCTATTCCATGAAGAGTATCAGGAAGGGCAGAAACTGCCTTATGGAGGTGGCACTGTAAGGATCTTGGGTTTCATTCAAGATTAGATCTCATTCTAAGTGTGCTAGGAAGCCACTGAAGGGTTGACGAATGAAGGTGTGCCATAATGTGCATTACATTTTAAAAAGCACTCTAGGCTGCTTTATCCACAAAATATATAGGAACCAGTGTGCAAGAAGAGTGGGTCTTACTAAAATGGAAAACCTGAGGGATAGCATATATGGGGAGAAAAAAAAAATACGTCTTTTGTAGACGTGTTCAGTTTAAAATGCTTTCTGAACTTCTGAGTGGAGATGTTTAAGTTAGGAGTTTGGAGTTCAGTGTAGATGTCTAGGCAGAAGATAAAAGTCTAAGGAATTATTGGCAGATAGACTTTATTTAGAGATGATATTTAAAATAATGGGAGAGCAGTCAAGAAGTTGTCCAAAGACTGAACTCTGGGTCACTTCATTATTTAGAGATTGAAAAGAGTAAGATCCATAAAAGGAATCTGAAAGAAGCAGCCAAGCAGCAGGTAAACCTCCACAGAGGCCTGGAAGCCTCGTGTAGACAGTATTTCAAGAAGGGAGGATATAGCTAGGAACAAAGGTTTTAGGCATAAAAGAAAAGGGATACAAGTATATAAAGTCAAAGAAGTTACAACACTATGATCCTACATGTAAACTGGAGAGAGGTACATGACAACCAACGTGGTAGCAATAAGCATGCCAGTGCCCAGACTGTGATCTCTAACCACCATTACTAAAAGGGCAGGAAATATACACGATAAGACTGAAAATTCTTACTATATGAGAAAGAAGGGCTTCAAAAGGCTAGAGTGGTCATTTCAGAAGCTTGGGAGTCAAGTTCAAAAGGTTCCCACTCATCCAAGATGGCACAATTTTGTGTATCAACATGAATAATAATTACATTGGACTAAACCAAATGAACTATGGTTTTAATGGATTTGTTTACACTGACACTTCAGAAACAAACCAATTACCTTTGGAGGAAAGATACTATGAAACCGACTCATTTAAAAAACTGATAAAAGAAATATTTATCCTGCTTTTTCTATATGAACTATACTTCAGGATAACCAAACAGTTGATGAGGGAAAGTTTATTTGTATAGAAGTCCTCCAACTAATAAATGAAGGAATGACAGGAATCTGATATCACCATTTTGCAGTCTTCAATGAAATAACGGACTAGGCATTGATCATCAATAGCTACCCAAATCACAAAAAGAGAGCTAACTAGACACCACCATCTGTAAAGAGAATTCTGTCCTCCCCAAATCAACCGGAATCTGATCCAGCCTCTAGATATAAGGACCAGTCTATTGGGCATCCAGGGCTCAGACGAAAAAAAGGATGCAACCAGCAAAATCTAGAATGTGGGAAAGAGAACAAAAGATCCATTTTCTTCAAAAGAATAAATCAAGGAAAAAAATTAAGAGGAGAAGAAACCTATAGATATATTTTAGAGACACAGCAATCCAATGGAATCAATTAACTTTATTTCAACCTGCTTCAACTGTAAAAAAAAAAACAAAAACAAAAAAAACCCAGAAGAATTAACCAAGGAGATTGGAGATTTGAACACTGGCTGGCTAGTTGCTGTTATTAGTTGATGTTATTACAGAATTGTAATTAAATTTTTGTGTGTCATTATAGTATTGTGACTATATTTTTTTAAGGAGTCCTTGTTTTTTAAAGATTTTAATGAAAAAGACACCTACAAAGAACATAATAAGAAAATGAGTATTTTCTCAAAATAAACTGGAAAAGGAAGTGGCCAGGGTAAAGGTAAAACAAGACTGGCCATGAGATATTTGTTGAGGCGGGGAGAAGGGTACGTGAGGATCCATCACATTATTTTCCATACTTTATACTTGTTTGACATTCTTGGTAAGAAAGTTTTGTTTTATTCTGTTTAAAGGAGGATATAATCAACTATACCCTCAAAAAAGATGAGATCAAAGGAAGACTGAGAATTGAATACTGGCAGTGGCAAATGTGGAGGTCATTGGTGACACTGAGAAGAGGGTTTTCAGTGACACATTGGTTATGACAGTGTAACTGGAATGAGTTCATGAATAGGAGACAACACCCTAGAGATGATTCTAAGGAGAAAATAAAAATGGGAGACAGCTGGAGTTTCCTGGTGTTAAAGATGCTTTTTCTTTTTACTCAATGGAGAGAAAAAGTGTATTTCTCTGCTGATAGAAATAATACAGAAAAGAGGGGGAAACTAATCACACAGGAGAGTGGAGTGACAAAAGCAGAAGCAAAGATCCTGAGTAGGTGGGAGGAGCTGGGATCTAGCCCCAAAGTGGAGAGGTTGGTCTTGGTTAGGAACAGGGGACAATTCATCTATTTTAATAGGCTCAAAGCACAGGTAGAGATAGAAACAAGGTGATAGATTGCTGGTAGAAAAATGAGGACGTTCTCTTTTAGTTGCTCCTGTTTTCGTAGTAGAATATAAAGGAAGGCCATAAGCTAGGAGTCAGGACGGGGGAGGGGAGTGGTTAGATGTTTGAAGGCAGAAGTTGTGAAATCATCACCTTGGACAGTGGTAAGTGAACTAACCGAGAGAACATAGTAGGGATGTCAAGCAGCACTAAAGGCTCATTTGAAATTTGTGATCATATAAAACTTAAAAAAAAAATTTGTGATTATAAATTTAAAGCAAAATAAATCATATTTTATCTTTAGTCATGTTCAGCTGTTCTGATGGAGGACTGCACAAGCCCAAGATTGGGTTTTAACCAGGGTTGGGATTTTGTCTTAAAAGTATGATGGAGGGGGCTTCCCTGGTGGCGCAGTGGTTGAGAGTCCGCCTGCCAATGCAGGGGACGCAGGTTCGTGCCCCGGTCCGGGAGGATCCCACATGCCGCGGAGCGGCTCGGCCCGTGAGCCATGGCCACTGGGCCTGCGCGTACAGAGCCTGTGCTCCGCAACCGGAGAGGGCACAACAGTGAGAGGCCCGCGTACCGCCAAAAAAAAAAAAAAAAAAAAAAGTATGATGGAGGGAGAGAAGGACAGAGGAGTTGAGAAATGCAACAGAATTATTATAATGATGGATTACTGGAAATAAGCAGGGTAATACAGGATTTTAGGATGTAAGGGGAATGTTTAGGTTTGTAGCAGGGTTTAAAGAATTGTTGGAAATAAAAAAAACCAAAAATATGGTGTAAACATAGGAGGCAATAGTCTAAGAGTAGGATGCTTACAACTGGGATTTGAAGGTGGTAGTTAGTAATGGCAAGGCAAGAGTGAAGAAAATGATCTTTGAAAGTAAGAAGAGGTTGAATTGGATTGATTTTTGATGTAGAAATCACCAAGAAAGATGAAAGGAGTTGAAGTAGAGAGATGACAGTGAGTCAGATCCTAAAATCTTCAGTGGAAAAGGAGGAAGATCAGAGTGCAAAAGACTACAAAGGAGCGTGGGGTAGAGTTTAATCTCGCGACATGTATTTCAAAGCACCTGGAGTTTTTAGGGAAGAAGAGTGGCCAAGAAGGGGCAAAGAGCAGCAAGAAGAATACCTACACCTCCCCTTGGCTCTGTGGTATGTGGGGTACGGAAGACAAAAGAACCATTACTGTAGAAGGGCCGCAAAGGAATCAGCATCCCCAGGGGAGGGCCAAGTGTCAGCAAGAATGCTAAATGAGCAGTTATCATCCAAATCACAGCCTAAAGCTCACCACGTAAAACATAAAAATTATATCCCTGCCGCTGCCATGAAAACAATATTGTTACACTCACTCCTTTTTTTAACTTTTTAAAAAAATTAATTAATTAATTAATTTTTGGCTGTGTTGGGTCTTCGTTGCTGTGTGTGGGCTTTCTCTAGTTGCGGTGAGCGGGGGCTACTCTTCATTGCGGTGTGCGGACTTCTCACTGCGGCGGCTTCTCTTGTTGCGGAGCACGGGCTCTAGGCACACGGGCTTCAGTAGTTGTGGCTCGCAGGCTCTAGAGCGCAGGCTCGGTAGTTGTGGCGCACAGGCTTAGCTGCTCCACGGTGTGTGGGATCTTCCCGCACCAGGTCTCGAACCCGTGTCCCCTGCATTGGCAGGCAGATTCTTAACCACTGCACCACCAGGGAAGCCCCTTGTTACACTCACTTCTAAGGAAATAGTTTTATTTGGCTACTTCAAAAGGTAACATAAAATGTTCAGTCTTTACTTACCTTCCTGTTGTAACTGAGCCAAGAAAAGTGCAAGGTATGTGTCTGATATTAGTTCTGGACCCGTCAAGAGAGAATTCAAGTTGAACCACTGGAAAAAAAGTTGTCAATGTTTAAGTTAGTGCACATGTAAGTAATAAGGAAGTTTCACATGTTAAGAATAGATATAACCCATCTAAACTTAGTAAGACTGTCTAAAGACTGAAAACATGTCAAATCAAGATTTTTTTTAAGTAATTAAATAATGTGATTCTAAAAAATTGAAATAGAATGTTGCAAATTTATCACTATTAAATGTTTTAAAAGTTTGCTTTGAGCCATAAGCTTTAAATCCCTCCTCCAAAAAAGAAAAGAAACTGATAGCCAGTATTTTAAAGTATCTTTATTGATAGCGACAATTAAATCTTTTTTCAAAGGAACAGCCCAACAAAATCCTCATCTAATCATATTATATTGATGGTGGAAGAAAAAGGAAAACTACCCAGTTTTCTCAGTGCTGATAATCTTGGTCAAAATAGTTCAATTGAGAGAAAGCCAGACATTCCAGGAAGAGAATTTATAATTGCCAACTCATTTTAAAAAGTAAGCCATTACTGCATGTAAGTAACATCATTTGGTCACTACTTCATGGGCCTCCTAGTTTAACCCACAAGATACAAAAGTTTCAGAAGTTACTGTCAGCAACATGACCAACTACTTTTCCTGGATTTTCACAGAGATAATATTTTTCTCAATCATCTTTTTCTTTATACAGGGACCTCAGACAAGAGTCTATAGGGAAAAATACAATTTTAAACAAAAGTACAAATTAGAACCAAAGATGATAAGCCATACTTTGACATTTCCTGTATTTGTCAAAGATAATTTGAAATGTGTAAATTCAATTTTGAAGAACTAAAATTTTAAAAATTTCTCAAAATAGGGGACTTCCCTGGTGGTCCAGTGGGTAAGACTCTGTGCTCCCAATGCAGGGGGCCCGGGTTCGATCCCTGGTTGGGGAACTAGATCCCACATGCATGCCGCAACTAATAAGTCCACATGCCGCAACTAAGAAGCCCACATGCCGCAACTAAAGATCCCGCATGCTGCAACAAAGATCCCGAGTGCCACAAAGAAGACCCGGCGCAGCCAAAGTAAATAAAGAAATACAAAAAAAAAATTTTTTTCCTCAAAATAATAACGTAAGTTTACATGCAAATCAATACAAAAGAATTTCTAGAATTTAAGTCTTCAGATCTTGAAAGTGAAGAATACCTGATCATATTTTTAAAGATCTAAATAAAACCCAGAGGTTAAATAACCTTGGCAGTTGTCCTGCCCTGGTTTTTCCCAGAGTTGATTCCCACCTGGGTCAGTCTTTCCTGCATCACACCACACCTCCTTACTTGCTCTTTGCCCCCCCAAGGAGGGACCTTAAGAAATAATCAGTTATGATGAAGCTGCTTCTAGGCAGCAGACTTAAAAGGTAATAGCAAGGCTTTTGTTTTTGAATTATCTTGTATTGATTTAATTCAACTTTCTTGATTTCATTTCCTTTTTTGTTTTGTATTAGTTTATTTTTTAAAACAGCTTTATTAAGGTATGATTGACATGCAGTGAACTGGCCATATTTAAACTATACAATTTGAAAAGTTTTAACATATGTATATACCCATGAAGCCATCACCACAACCAAGAGTGAACATATTCGTCACTGCCAACTTTCCTGCGCCCCTTGTAATCCTCCTCTTTCACTGCTCCTTGCCCTCCTCATCCCCAGGCAACCACTAGTCAATCTGCTTTCTGTCACTACAGATTAGTTTGCATTTTCTACACTTTTATATAAATGGAACAATACGGTATGTAGTATTTTGTGTCTAGGTTCTTTCACTCAGCATAATTATTTTGAGATTCATCCATGTTGTTACATGTATCAATAATTCATTCCTTTTTACTACATTAGCCTGTTTTCAATAATCCTCTTTCCGGACTTCCCTGGTGGCACAGTGGTTAAGAATCCCCCTGCCAATGCAGGGGACACGGGTTCGAGCCCTGGTCTGGGAAGATCCCACATGCCACGGAGCAACTAAGCCCATGCGCCACAACTACTGAGCCTGCGCTCTAGAGCCCACAAGCCACAACTACTGAGCCCACGTGCCACAACTATGGAGCCTGCGTGTCTAGAACCCAAGCTCTGCAACAAAGAGAAGCCACTGCAATGAGAAGCCCACGCACCGCAATGAAAAGTAGCCCCCACTCGCCGCAACTAGAGAAAGCCCACGCACAGCAACGAAGACCCAATGCAGCCATAAATAAATAAACAAGTAAATAAATAATGCCAAAAAATAATAATAATCCTCTTTCAAAGTGTCAAAATTCTAAGAAAAAGGACTTTAACTATTTCAAAAATGGTATCGTGTATACAAAGATCACTGGCAATTATTTTAAAAAATAACACTTTAGGTACTTTTCTTGATCTTAGAAAAAGCCTTGCTCAAGACACATTCCATGTCCTTTTTTTAGAAAAAATAGAAATGATTTATGCAGATACATATATTACATGGCATTTTGGAATGCGAATAACCTTGTTAAGCAAAAGCAAACATGACTGGAAATTTTTATTCATGCTAGACACTATTTCAGGCTTTGTGACATTGCTACGCTTAATACAAACCCATGAAAATAGTAGTTAACTGACGGAGCATCTTTACAACATAAAAACTCATAAACATATTAAAAGTGACCACGGCTGTATTGTCTTATTAAATAGAGAATTTTACTTATGTCCTCTCTCTCTCTATTGAAACCAGGCCACATACACACATTACTGGTGAGTTTCATTTGCAACTGAAGTGAAAGGGACAGGCGCCTTAAAGACGAAGGCACAAATCCCTTACACTTCAGTTGCAAATGAGCTACAGAATGAGGAAAAAGACAGGGGAAGAGGGGAAGCATTACCTGTTTTCCTAATTTTCTAACTGTAAACCAGTGCTCTTTATAATTGCATATAAATGATCTTTCATTTCTAGAAACAGGAAAAAAAAACATACATAATATTAAGTTGAAATACTAGAGTTCATATTCATTTAGTTTGTCTATTGGAAAGTATTACACAAAACCTATGAGGATTTAGGATTATATTCACAGTTTTAAGTATCACTGATTTTTAAAAAATTACAAAACAGTATGAATCTCTGTGCAGATAAGTGACGCCGTGCAAAAGCGATGGCACCACACCCCATTCAAGGATCAGCTCTGCACTGCCAGACACTGAGGGGTCAGGAGGGCTCAGTGGGCAGATGTTCACAGACAGCCGCAAAAGGTGAACTAGGAAAACCTGAGGGATTGAAACGGGCAATATCAAAACAAAAGCATGCAAGATGTATTTTTCTCCTTTAAGAAAGTATAAATTTAAAAATCAAATGTAGGAAAGGCAAAATAAAATCTTACATGGGATCGATCCTGAGCCTCTGATACTCTGGACTGTTAAACAGGATTAGTTCTAAACCCCAAACTTTCAAGGCATTGCTTATAACCTGTTATAAAAAAATAACAACTTTTAAAAATTCCAGATTTAAGTGGTGTAGCCATGTTAGTTGTATACACAATTGTAGTTCATATATAAATTTCCCCAGAAGGTTATGGTTTTTAAAGTGTGTGTGTGTGTGTCTAGATATATCACTAAGTCCATAAATAATATACAAACGTAACATTAAAAGAGTACTTTTCACACTAAGTTTCTGGAATGTTCCAGAGAACCACACAATTCCTAGATAAAACTGCCTCAAAACTCCAGATGTATTTTCTATCCAGTAAGTGCTACTCTTAAAACTAGTCCACTGCAAACGTGATAATTTGGCTGCTACGGGTCCTGCTTTAGAAAACTGATAGTCAACTCACTACCTGATGTGTAATAATGATAATTTTATGTCTATTAAAATGAGTTATTTCTGGGGATTTAAACTGAAGCTTTCATAAATTTTAAACTTCTGTTATCATGGGTTTGTGATTTGTAGGAAAAAAACAAAAGATAAACCTGATTATTTCAAACTGAGAAAAAAAAGGGAAATTTCTGAAAATTCACTACCTTCCCTCCAAGGTAGCCAACAAAGCAGTAAGTGAACCAGGCACGACTACAACAAAAAGTGAACGCTATGAGGTGCGCAAATGTGAACTGGCACCAAGAGCAGCGCTGCAGGGACTTCCCTGGTGGTCCAGTGGTTAAGAATCCACACTTCCACTGCAGGGGATGCAGGTTCCATCCCTGGTTGGGGAAGTATAATAAGATTCCGCATGTCACGGCCACGTGGTACAACCAAAAAAAAAAAGAGCAGCGTTGCACAAACAGGAAATGGCAAGCACTGGCCCTGCTCAGGCCTCTGCTCCAAGCCGTGCAGTAGCTGTCACCTGGAACGGTCCACAATAAAGCACTGGTTGGAAATGCTGGTGACTGAGGAGTCCAGGAAGACAGTACAGCAGAACACAAGCAGAGATATCTGCAGAAAATGTTCCCCCAAGAGAAGTTCTAAAGAACGCTGGATACGCCTCACAGGTGTTAGAAATGGAATGAAAGATCCACGGATGAAAGAATCAATCTCACAAGTACACATATATTCACCCACAGAATTCAAGGGGAGTGATAAGATTTAAAAAGGAAAAAGGCAAAAGACACAGACCATAATGAAGGAATCCAATCCTAGTGGGCTGATTTAAATGGAAGGTAGGAAAGTGTTGTATTTTCTCAAATTTACACAGGAGATGGTAAGTTTGAAATCCTGCGACTTACTGGAATTACGGTTATTAGCATCCGGATGCAAATTAACAACCTCCTTTGAGGAAGCCCTCCTCTGAGATGAAGATCCTGTCATCCTAATTGTCATGTTTATCTGCATAAAAATCTAGTACTCTGGTATAGAATCTTAGACATAATCTACTGGAGGAACTTCTGAAGGTTACATCATTACAGTGACTATGAAAGACTGTGAAAAGCATACCCTGAGCTTAAACAGTGCCTGGGACATAAACAACACTTAGTAGATGCCTGTGACTACTTACTTGAATAGAGAAAAAGCCACTGTCATCCATATTTCCAGAAGGCTGCTGTTTAATTTGGATAGGTAGTTGGGACAGGGGTTGAGGGTGGGAAGAGAAGGATAGTGTCATTAGTGTGCATATTTAAAGTAACATCTTGTGCATTCCCATCTACAAAGACGAGAGCTGATTTATAATTAACAAGTCAGATCCCCATAGGAAGAGCGGTTCATCCTTTTCTAAACAGCACCCACATTTCTTTAAGAAGTGTGATTTAGTGAGTTTAAAATCAGTACCTGCAAAAATGTGCGATAGTCTTCACTAGTAACTCCTCCTTCTGCCATTCTCATCCTCTCTTCCTCATCTAGCTGGTGTGCAATTGAAGATAATTCCACAGGGCTGAAGTATTCTCCTTGTAACAGGTTATTCAAGCAATGCTGAGCACAAAGTGAACCTTCTTGCTAATATTTCCAAAAGAAAAAATTCAAATGGGATTTGTAAAACAGATTTGTACAGTATCTTCCCTGAAACAGAAATTTAATCATTAATTTAACACAGCCAAACCAAACATTTTTAGCTTTAGACAAGCATGATTCACACGGGTACATGCATTTTCATTTGTTAACATTTATTTTATAATTCTACCATAATGAAACTACAATTATTTAGCTATATGATCAAAAATTTAAGAATGATTTATACTAAACAAACACCATCTGTCAAATACACCAAATCCAATTTTTATTAAAAACTACTCTATTATAATAAACATTTAGCCTCCTTTGTTTTCAGTGGCCAAAATAAATACATTTTTGGAGATTCCATGGTAAATTACTAATGCTGAAAAGGAATTTTAATCCCTAGAACATTTTTTCTTTTAACAAGATAATCTCTAATCCATCTAAATGTTCGTTCATGGAATTTCAAATCCATGAACAGATGAAGAATCTCAAAAATTGATATAGTAAGAAAAATTCTGTTCGATGTTTATGAAGACTTATAGCTACAGAGCCAAGGTTCTCTTCAAGAACTCTGCAGATAATGTACACAGTTTTGGTGCATGAGCAAAACTGTCCAAAAACCACCCCTGGAGTTCACTTCTGGACAAACAGCAAGGGGGCTGCATCCAAGCTCAGTTCTCCAATTGGGAACTGGGATCACTGGCTCCCTGTTATGGGTGTGGGGAGAAAACAACTTCCCACAGGCCCTTCGCGGGCTGGGCAGCTGGCTTTCTCACACAACTGGCACCCCAAACCTAAATCCAGGCTTCCTCCAACTAAGCAGCCTGTGTATCACCCCTCTCCCCTCAACACTGCTGCTTTCCTGTTTCCCTATAAGAAGGGAGACTAATGGGTGGATGAGATCCCTCCCAGTGAACCCAGCCCCGGGTTGGTCTTTCTGTAGTATGATGGCAGATGGGAGAACACCTTCTTCTCCTGCTAATAACTCTGGCCCTCTAAGTTCTCCATTTCCCCAGTAAAGTCTGTTCATTAACCCAACCTGTCTGACATCCTGCAGTTTGTTTCGAGCTATGTCACACGATAGGTCAGACCCCAAAGACCAACACCTTGCAAGATACATCTTCTTCCTGAGTTAATTTTCTAGGAACAAAATTCCGCTGCTGAAGAAGATACAGGATATATGTATATAATGGAATAGGAATGCAGCACTGAGACAGTCTGAGTGTGAGAAAGGGGGCTGAGACAAGTTTATCTTCGTATTTTGGTACAGAATAAGTAACCTGCAGTAAAGAAGACACTATCCATCCCTCAAGTCATAACTACGATGGTGAGAGAGTACTTGTCTCCACTTCTTTTTTCTTCTACTGTATTCCTCCTGCCAGAAAGCCAGTCTCACTGAACAATATAATGTGAATTGGAGGGATACACAGATGTCTACTTATATTCTATTGAAAAGTGGGCAAGACAAACAAGAACTCACAAGAGGATAGCCAAATGGATAAAAAACACAGAGGGGGGCTCAACTTCATTAACCACCAGAGAAACCTATATTAAAACTACCAGTGTGTTACTACTACACACTCCAGAATGGCTAAAATGTTGGAGACGATTAGAGACATCAAAACTATTATATACTACTGATGGAAGTGTAAATTAGTTTAACCACTTTGGAAAACTACTTGAAATATCTACTACAGCTTAACATTTACCTACCCTATGATCTAGCAATCCCACCGCTAGGTACATAACATAAGCAACAGAAATGTAAACCTGTGTTCATCAAAAGACATGTATAAGAACGTTCATAGAAGCACTATTTGTATTGGCCCCCAAACTGGAAATTACCCAAATGCTCATCACAGTAGAATGGCTAAATTGTGTTACATTCACAAAGGACTACTATGTAACAATGACAGTGAGTTAACTACAACTACCTGCAACAATATGGATGACTCAATCAATGTTAAACAAAAGAAGACAGACTCAAAAGAGTACACTCTATATGATTCCATTTACAAAACTTCAAAAACAGACAAAACTAACTAATCGATGACGTTAGAAATCAGGGTAGTGGTTACCCTTGCAGGGGTGGAGGGAGAGTTAGTATCCTGGAAGACGAACGATGTAAGGGGGCTTATAAGATGCAGGTAAATGTTCTGTTAATTGATCTAAGTATTATTTACACACTTGTGTTCACTTCATTAAGCTATACTCTTATGATCTGTGTGCACCTACACGTGTTATCCTTAATAAAAAATTCAAACAACGATAAAAAAGTCTCTACTAAGATACAGGTACTTCACATTAAGAGCTACCTAATACAGTGACCAGACACTGGATTATCTTGGAATTTTCTGTTTGCTGTCAGGCTACATGCTTCAGTTTGGGGCTCTCAGACTATGGTCACCATATGTAATAACATACATAGAAACAGTGAATCCAAATATTTGATTTTAAAATTCTCTCTATAAAAAATTAGCTTTAAAATACAAAAAATAAGCACTTGAAATTAAACCTAATTGAAGTAATACTGTATTGCTTTAGGAAATTATATCAAGTTCTGTACTTCTAAGATGATTTAATAGAAGGAAAGAACAAATTGTACAGTCAAATTTAAATAAAATTATTTTTTAAAGTCACAAGATGAGTCAAATTCTACATGGACCAAAAAAATTGTAAAATGGTCCCATCTAAGATTATGCATTTCCCTGCCTGCCCATCCCACCCCCTAAACTATCCCCAACCACTTCATTCATTCATTCATTCATTCAACTATGCCGGGTCTTAGTTGCGGTACTCAGGATCTTTGCTGCGGCGTGCAGGCTCTTTAGTTGCGGCATGCAGAATCTTTTTAGTTGAGGCATGTGGAATCTTTAGTTGCAACACGTGGGATCTTTTGGTTGTGGCATGCAGGCTCTTAGTTGCGGGATCTAGTTCCCTGACCAGGGATCAAACCTCGGCCCCCTGCACTGGGAGCATGGAGTCTTAACCACTGGCCCACAAGGGAAGTCCCCGCAACCATTTCTTTTCTTTTTTTTTTAATTTAGTAATTTATTTATTTATTTTTGGCTGCACTGGGTCTTCGTTACTGTGTGCGGGCTTTCTCTAGTTGCAGTGAGCGGGGGCTACTCTTCGTTGCGGTGCGTGGGCTTCTCATTGTGGTGGCTTGTCTTTGTTGCAGAGCATGGGTTCTAGGTGCACAGGCTTCAGTAGTTGTGGCGTGTGGGCTCCACAGTTGTGGCTTGCGGACTTCTAGAGTGCAGGCTCAGTAGTTGTGGCTCACGGGCTTAGTTGCTCCGCGGCATGTGGGATCTTCCAGGACCAGGGCTCAAACCAGCGTCCCTTGTATTGGCAGGTGAATTCTTCACCATGCAACCAGGGAAGTCCCCCAACCACTTCTTTCTCATCAAACTTTAACCAAAGTTGAACAGAAGTTCACTTTGCTATAGTCAAAGTTCAGTGGTATTGAAATTCCATGATTTCAAGCCCAGACTTTATTGTGTTGGGATCCAAGGATGAACAAAATGCATCTTCAGTTTTACCAAGATATCTTACAAAACCACCAAGGGTAACTTCAACCAAATCATTCTCACTGTCCCCAGAGTCTTCAGGACCTCCCTGAAACTAGTTCAAATTCCCAGAGACACTACTGCCTCCAACTGAAACTGGGCACAAACCCAAAGGTGTGCTCAGAAATGGCCTAACTGGGGCCACACAATCAACCTAGCAGCACTTGTTCATCTCATCTTAGTAAGAATAAGGTCCCACCCCTTATTATGAAGTTTGGCAAGCACAAGCATCTGAATAACAACAGTGGCCAGCACTTGTCCAGCACTATGTGCCAAGTAGCATTCTAAGCATTCACAACGCTGAGACAGACACTTCAAAACCCTCAAATACAGCGGAGGAAACTGGAGAACAGAGATAACAAGTAACTTGCCCAGGATCATACAGGTAGTAAACGGCAGAGCTGAGATTCAAACCCGGGCAGAGGTTTCAAGTCTGTACTATTACCACTTCCTTAAGCCACCTATTTGGAACTTGGTGATTCTTAAACTTCAAATATCCTGAAGATGGTTAAGAACCACCAATCACAAAAAAAAAACATAACGAATGTCATAAAGTCAAATCTCAGCATCTTTCCAGTATTTTCACTAATTTTAAATATAATCCCAACAAGTTTGGCTATCATTCACAGCTGTAAACACATAAAAGTACCAATTCAGATGGCACACTAACCTCACCAAGAGCTGTCAGCAACAGAAGGGATAACAAAAACGACAGAAATCAGGCACCAGAACTAAAAAAAAAAAAAACCCAAACAACAAAAAACTCCAGCAGTTGGTGGCCATATAGCACTAGGGTTTAAGTTAGGGATTGGCAAACTCTAGCCCTTGGGCCAAATTCAATCTGCCCCAGGAGCTAAGAATGGTTTTTACATTTTTATATGGTTGGGAAAACACACACACATACACACACACACACACACACAAGAATATGTGAGAACGTAAAAAACCTGCAAAGTCTAAAATATTTAGAGAAGGACTTCCCTGGTGGCGCAGTGGTTAAGAATCTGCCTGCCAACGCAGGGGACATGGGTTTGACCCTGGTCTGGGACGATCCCACATGCCACGGAGCAACTAAGCCCATGCACCACAACTACTGAGCCTGCGCTCTAGAGCCTGCGAGCCACAACTACCGAACCTTCGAGCCACAACTACCAAGCCCGCACGCCGCAACTACTGAAGCCTGTGAGCCTAGAGCCCGTGCTCCGCAACAAGAGAAGCCACTGCAATGAGAAGCCGACACACCGCAACGAAGAGTGGCCCCCACTCACTGAAACTAGAGAAAGCCCGCACAGCAATGAATACTCAATGTAGCCCCAAAAAATCCTATTTTAAAAAATAAAATATTTACAGAAAAACTTGTTTACTTTAGATAAATAGCACCATATACATCTTAGGTGCTCAAGGAACACTCTTGATTCATTCAAATATTTATTGAGCACCTGCTATGTGCCAGGCACTGGGGATATATCAATAAACAACTGTTGAGTTTACATTTTAATTTAACAAAGGGCACTCCAAGAGACAATTCTGAAAATGGAGAAACCAAAATTCCAAGAGGAAGTGGTTGCAAAGTCCTTTGTAGTCAGATAACCCTACATGCACAGCTTCCCTAGGGCCAAATTTGGTTCTCCGGCTCTCCAAACCCAGGACCTAGAGTTAAATGTATGTGGAGGAGGGGAAGGGAGTGCTCTGGAAAATGTCATGTTGAGCTCAAACATTCCCAGAATGGACAGTGTATGAGATGGACAATGGGCCCTATGGTTACAGGTGCTTTCCATACTATTGAAATATGCCTGAAGAACTTTAAGTCTTCATTTGCTAAGTACCTATAAGTTGATAAGGGTAAATGTGTTCTTGAAGTAGGTTTAAGTCTACATTCATGCTGATAATTCAGAGTGACTGCTTTCAGGTAAGTAGATTTTCATTAGGCTAGCGTCCAGCTTCTTTTGATCCCATGGTTAAGCAGCTACCTTCGCTGAACTCTATCCAAACTAGGTACCAATCATTATTGTTAAAAAATATATATTGTATAATTCTCAGGAAGTGATGTGCACAAATTTAAAATCTTCAGTGTTGAACCATCTGGTCCTACAGCAAAGCTTTTGAAAATCAGTCATAAAAATATGCCCACTCGAGGTTCTCTTCATCCAGTCTCCTTAGCCAAGCAGCTAAATTTCTCTTGTCCAGGATTCATATAACATGTCAGTCAAGTCAAAAGACTGGTGATAACCGTACCACTGAGACCTTCCTCACCCACACATAAAAACTGGTCTATTCTAGTACCAAACTTTCTGAAATGTTTTCTATAAAGAAAAGCATTCCATAACAATTTGGTTAGATTTATACTGCACTTCCCTTGTCTTCGATTGCTTTATCTGATTGCTGTGTGTGTATTTTTAAATGGACAAGTATTTAACAAAACAAAACCCCTTCGCTCCTACTAAATAACAGCCTCACCAGCAACCCTTTCTAAACACGAAACTATTATGAAACAAGATATTTGACAAAGTTGTCCTGAGGACAACTGAGGTTTCACTCACACCCAAATGATTTGATAACTGCGAGAAAAGACGAGTTTCTCCACATGCCACAAACATTATCTTCAAGCGCATGGTCATGGAAGATTCAAAGCAAAACAGGCTAGGCAGACAAAAACAAAATTATTCCTGCCCACTCCTAATACCTAATAAGAAAGCTGGCCTCCTGATCCGGAAAGATGCCATTACCAAAAGAAACGAAACCCAAACATCTCATAACAAAAACTCTTGTGACGACTTCCCAGTTCAGGGGCGCACTGGGTTTCCTACTTCACTTCCCTAAGGGTCACGCCCTCCGTGGGACGAGCCAAGGTCCCTGCCCCCGGGATGCTCATGGACCCAGTGCAGAAGGATCTGAGTGTATGAGAAATTCCAATTTAGAATTGAGGAGCCCAGAGAAGGAAAAGTTAATTCTTCCAACGGGTAGGACTGGGAGAGCGGGGTGGAGTTGGGAAGGGTAGAGGGACGTGTCCAAGAGGTGACTAGCTAGAACCTAGGGAGAGTGGGGGAGAGGAACTGGAGGACTCCCACGGAAAGTGGAGAGAAAGCGCGGAAGTCACCTCCTCTCTCGTGCCGCCGGCCCTGCCCTTATTCCCTGCGGGCTTCCCAGACATCTCAGGCCCGGGTCTCCTCCGGCTCCTCGGGCACGGGCCTTAGGGTGCAATGGGGGCATCGGTGAAACTCCCCTCCAGGTGAAGCTCCTCCCGCCCGGCGAGATCGGGATGGGGGCATCTCGGGCCCCACCCAGCTCCCCGGGAGGCAGCGATGCCGCGCCCCACGCCCGCCACCGCGCTGCAGACAGCTCCCCACCGAACGCGGACACTCACTTTTTCATGGAAGATGGACTCCATGTTTATTTGTCTGGAGCCAACGGCCCCCGCGCCGAACCAACCCCCTCCAGCTCCGCCCCCAGCCCGACCCCTCCACCCAGCATGCCCCGCCCTGCCTCGTGCCACCCCCGCCCACGTGTCTCGTGTAGACCAATCACCCCCGAGGATGCGAGTCACGTGGATCGAAGAGGCGTGAACGCCGGGGCGGTAAACTCCGGAGCACGTGACCTTTGTAGCGCGTCCTCCCATCTCCTGTTGTGCCCCCGGCTGGAGGATGATGCAGCGCCCCCTGCCGTGTGGAGGATCATCTCCGCTTCCCACTCATTGCGGTGGATTCTTAGGCTTCAGGGGGATTGGGTAAGGACCACCTGAATTCTATGTTTTTTGTTTTCTATTTTACCTTGTACCTTCTTTTTATCGCATTTGCATACAATTATTTAATATCTTTCTCCTCCTCCTGCGCAGAAATTCTCATTACATCCCTGAATACTGAGCACTTGTGTAAAAATAAGAGTTAATATTTACGTAGGGCTTACTGTCGGTGGGCACTCTTGTAAGTGCTTTGCATGTATTAACGAATTTAATACAGCAAACTTTGATGTAGGCGTTATTATCCTTATTTTATACATGAGGAAGCTGAGGCATGAAGAGATTAAGAACAGCACAACTAGATAGGTAGACAGATAGTTTGGCTGTAGAACAGAGAGCTGTTGGCATAAAAAAGGGAACTGAAACCACAGGAGTGGATATAATCATCTTGGAGAAAAGGAAGAGACTGAGAAGAGGATCTCACAGAGCTCTGAGGGTAGAGAAGGCATAGCCTAGGAGAAGGGAGGAAAAGCAGGAAGGTGTAACGTATGGAAGCCCCAGGAAGGAAATGTTTCAAGGAGCAGTCAGTGTCAGTTGCTGCCCAGAGGTCCAGCAACATAAGGACTTACAAGAGCCAACTGAACTGTGTTGCTATGGAGACCACTGGTGACCTTGGTGAGTGCAGGTCCAGAGGGACAGAAGGGGCAGTGGGAGGGAAGGAAAGGAGACTGCCAGCGAGGACCAGGTTCTCAAGGGGAGGATTCAGTAACCATTTATCCAATGTCTCTGCATATACAGTCCTGTATTGGAAATACAGTCCTGTATTGGAAATAGTCTGTGTTCTTAAGAAATTGTGGCCTAACTGGGGAAAGAAACCATGGTCTCATGAAGCAAAAAATATGCAAACCAGTTTTTCTGATTTTTTTTTTTAAAGAAAATGTGTCTGTATAGAGAAACATGTATTTCTTTTTTCATGCATATGCATTACAAATCTCTGGAAGAATATACAGAAAACCCAGAGGTTACATGTTTGAGTGGTAAGGGAACTAAGGCAAATGGGGAAAGAGTGGGAGGGAGACTTTTCACTGTATACAATTTTGGTCCTTTTTTTTTTTAAAATAAATTTATTTATTTATTTATTTGGCTGCGTTGGGTCTTCGTTGCTGTGCGCAGGCTTTCTCTCATTGCGGCGAGCGGGGGCTACTCTTTGTTGCTGTGTGCGGGCTTCCGGGCTTCTCATTGTGGTGGCTTCTCTTTGTTGCGGAGCACAGGTAGGCATGCGGGCTACAGTAGTTGTGGCACGTGGGCTCAGTAGTTGTGGCTCACAGGCTCTAGAGTGCGGGCTCAGTAGTTGTGGTGCATGGGCTTAGTTGCTCCGCAGCATGTGGGATCTTCCCGGACCAGGGCTCGAACCTGTGTCCCCTGCATTGGGAGGTGGATTCTCAACCACTGCGCCACCAGGGGAGTCCCTAGTCTTTTTTTTTTGAGCTAATTAATGTATTACTAATTCAGAAAAAATATGTGATTTTATTCATTTCCTGAGGCTGCTGTAGCAAATTACCACAAACTTGGTGACTTAAAACAACAAAATTTATTTTCTTATTCTTCTTGCAGCCAGAAGTCTGAAACCAAGGTGTCAGCAGGGCCATGCTCTTTCCAAAGCCTCTAGTGGAGAATCCTTTCTTGCTTCTTTCAGCTTCTGGTGGCTCCTGGTGTTCTTAGCTTGTGGCACCCTAACTCCAATTTCTGCCTCTTTCTGTACATGACCTTATTCCTTCTGTGTCTGTTTGTGTCCTCTCCCCTTATAAAACACCAGTCATTGGATTTAGGTTCCATCCTAATCCAGAGTAATTTCATGTTGAGATACTTAACTAAATACATAAGCAAAGACTGTTTCCAAATAAGGTCTTTGGTTCTGGGTGGACTTGAATTTTGGAGGGTAATGATCCAACTCTCTACAGTGACTAATTGCTTATTAGGATGTAAATGACCCCAAAGGACCGTATAGTTCTGTTCATTTAGCATGGAGAACAGTGCTTGGCAATATTTAGTAATGTTGAATTACTACTAATCGTTTCGTTAGGCCTTCCGACCTATTGAGTATGTGATTAACAGCAAGCATCATAAAATGAAAAGATCAGTGCCTGGAAGTCAGAATGCAAATTCTGGGTGTGGCTTTGCCCCTGAAGCCATGTGTGAGTTGGGTATTAGATTTGTTGCATTTCCTATTCGGATAACTCCACTTGATATTCGGCACATCCCAAACTTGAACTTCATAAGTTAACTCGTATTGTTCATCAAAACTCAATGACCGGGTTTCCCTGGTGGTGCAGTGGTTGAGAGTCTGCCTGCCGATGCGGGGGACGCGGGTTCTTGCCCCGGTCCGGGAGGATCCCACATGCCGTGGAGCAGCTGGGCCCGAGAGCCATGGCCGCTGGGCCTGCGCGTTCTGAGCCTGTGCTCCGCAGCGGGAGAGGCCGCAGCGGTGAGAGGCCCGCGTACCGCAAAACAAAAAACAAAAAAAAACCAAAAACAACTCAATGACCACACTCTCCAGGAAGCATCCCCGGCTCTTCAACTAACTTAAAAGTTCCTGTCCCTCCTCTGAGCTCCTGTATGTGCCTGTATCTTACTTGGTACCTTTTACATAGTATCATAACAGTTGGTTTGACCATACATCTTTGCCAATACCCTATAAATGTCTTGATGGCAGGGTCCATGTCTTATTTGACTTTGTATATCTTGTAGTCAATGCCTTTCAAATGAATTAGTGAAGCTAGCATCTGAGAATCATTCTTGATTCTTTTCCCCCCATTCTTCCACTTCACATTTTGTTCCAGTCAGTCCTCAAATGTGCATGTTCATGGCTCTTTCCTCTCTGTTTGCTTTGCTACTGCTTAGCCTTCTTGGTCTCTTGTGTATTCCAGGTCCAGGATCTCTGAATTGGTCTTCTGATTCCAGCTTCAGTATGTTTAATTCATAGTGCTGTCAGTGATCTTTCAAAAATGCAAACCTCACCAGTTTATCTTTACAAATGGAATGTTACTACGTATCAGGCACTGGGACTATAACCATGAGAGAGACAAACGGTCCAACTTTCACAGAGCTTATATTGGGGGGGATCCTTAAATAATTAGACGATATTACTCTATTTGAAATCTTTCAGTGGCTTCCTATTGCTGGATTAAAAGGTTCTTTGTGCTCTGGACCTGTCTGGCTTTATCTCCTGGAATTCCCTCTGCTCCAGTCACAACAGCTTCCCTTGACTTCCGGAAAGTCCTCTGAAGAAAAGCTGTTTGTGCCACCACTATACCTTGCACCTGCCTACATTAAAACCCTCATTACAACACACCGGACTGACTACTTCATATGCCAGTGGACTATCAGTTTTTGAGTGTCAAAGGAGTCTTACTCTTTATAACAAGGGTTCGTGCATAGAAGTGAATAAATGTACAAATTTTGGGGGCACAGACAAGTATTACAATAGTTCAGTAGGAGACAGTGATTACTGAGCCAATCAAGGAGTTCCTGGAGACAGAGGACATGAAATAGATGCACTTCCAGGAGACTTCTATTTCACCTTGGACAGTTCAACTTATCTCTAAATCTACCTCATTGAAATTTTATGTTAACAAGCAAGATGTCACAAAGTTATATCTATCTTCTTGAACATTGTCTCTTTTAAACTGGCCTAAATTTTGTTACCCCAAACCAAATAGTTGAACAGAATTTCAAACAACTGAGATTTTAAAATTTGTGTGTGTCATCTTTAAATGTCCTGAGTTCTGAAAAGAATCAGTGATAAGGGAGGATCATTTCATTGTAATTTCACTTCTCCTAAATTCAAGCTTACCTGAAACAGAATTTGCTTTCCAAGAAGAGGTAGTTGAATATAACAGATGACATATGTACATACCCAAGAAACCATCACCATAATCAAGAAAATGATTCCTCCAGCCCCTTCCTGGACCACTCCCTGGCAACCACTGGTCTGCTTTGTTACTATGGTTTGCAGTTTCTAGCATTTTATATAAGTGGAATCACATAGTGTGTGCTTTTTGTCTGGCTTCTTTCATTCAGGATAATTAATTTGGAATTCATCTATGTTGTATCAATAGATCATTTCTTTTAATTGCCGAGTAGTAATATTCCATTATATGGATTTAATACAATTTATCTATCCGTGTTGATGGACATTTGGGTTGTCTCTAATTTTTGGCTATTACAAGTAGAGCTGCTATGAACTTTCATGTAGATGTCTTTGTGTGGACATATGCTTTCTTTTGGCATATATGCATTTCTTTGAGGTAAATACCTCAGAATGGAATGGCTGGGTCGTATGGTAGGTGCATGTTTAACTTGAAACTGCTAAACTGATTTCCAAAGTGGTGCAACTTCTGGCAGCTACATTTTCCATTCCTGCCAGCAGGGTGTGAGTTCCAGTTGCTCCACACCCTTGCCAACACTTGGTAAGATCAGTCTCCTTAATTTTAACCATTCTGATAGGTGTGTAGTGGTTTCTCATTGTGGTTTTAATTTGCTTTTCTCTAGTGACTACTGATTTGAGCATCTTTTCACGTGCTTGTATGCCATTCTCATATGCCTTTTTTGGTGAAGTGTCTGTTAAAATCTTTTGCTTTTTAAAAATCGGGTTGTCTTATTAGTAAGTTATGAGTTTACATATTCTAAATATAAGTTCTTTGTTGTGTGTATGTTTTGCAAATATTTTCTCCTAGTCTATGGCTGCATTTTCATTCCCTTAACTGTGTTTTTTGAAGAAGTTTTAATTTTGATAAAGTACAATGTCTTGGTTTTTAAAACTGGTTCATGCTTTATGTATTGTATTTAAGAAATCTTTGCTAAATTCAAGGTCACTAAAATTTTCAGCTATTGATTTCTGCCAAATAAAATCCTAGCATCATCCTTTTAGAGTGCCTTTGAAGAACATGTTTGAAAAAATTTTTCTGAAAAATTGAGCCATATGATTCAGTGATTATTTTTTAATTACTAAGTGTCTGTTATTTGAAATGGGAAAGATTATTTCAGCACAAAAAGAATCACACTTCAAAGTCTTCAAATTAAGTAATGAATGTGTTTTTATTTCTCTTATAATTTAAAAACTGTGAACATTCTGTAATTCAGCAGCAGCCTTTATTTCCAGGTGACTTCTTCACTGGGTGTTAATTCCCTGCACGGAAAGAAAAAAAAGGAAGAAAAAGCAAAAGTGTAAATAAAACTTTTATGAGAGGATAAAAGGGAAAGTCAGAAGAATATGGATTCAGTATTTCATATTGTATTAAACTGACCCATTTAAAAGTTATGAGATTCAACATATTCATTCTATTCTCTCATGATTTTAAACTTTTACCATCTCTTCATTTTTCCAGATTAAAGAACTGTAATTTCTTAGTCTATCTTTATATGAAAGCAATTATCCTCTCAGTGAGTTCATTTAATGTTTTTTATATTCTTTCTAGCTCATTTTATCTTTCTTGAAATCCCTGGCTGGAACCTCCTCTACACAACGCCTTTGGCTGCTGCTTGGTTCTCTTGTCCCTTGAGCTTCCTCCTGCCTGGCTGCACAGTCAGTGGCAGACACCCTGTCTTGCTAACTCTAACTCTGGTGCCATCTCCAGAGACACAGTGGGACCAGGCAGCTGCCAGGTGCTATTTGATCACCCAACCACCATGTCTAAAGGTCTCAACCAGTGTTGCTGAGAACACAGCACCAAGCCACAATTAGTGCCATTGTTTTCAGCTACATCATGGCCTAAGTAAGACAGTGTATGATCATATATGTTAAAGTACATAGAGGAGGCTTTGGCAAGCTGGTTTAAGACTGTTTCTAGGTTAAAATGTACCCTGACTTAAAAAAAAAGACTTTCAAAGATGTGAAATAGCCTGTTCAGAAACTAAAGACTTATTTACATTCCAAAAGTAATCATAGAGTTTTGTCTAAGGATTAAGCAACAAACAAGACTACAAAATAATATCACTTAAAACTAAATCCTCAGGGGGGGAAATTACCCCTTCTGTTTATTTTGGCACAAATGACATTAAGAAGAATACTTCTAAAACCTGACTGTTGGTTTAATAAAAAAATACAAAAACTAACCTTTTATATAACAGACTCTTGTTCCGGAAGGCAATTAGCTTTTCATCATTCTTTCTGTCTAGGTAACATCCAACGACAAATCCCACAGGGACAAGTATATGTACCCAGTGGTCACGCACAATCTGAAGTAAGTTCATCATGAATGCTATAAAAAAAAAAAAATGACCAGAAATATAACTGCCTTTGAAGTATCTTAAATCACATCTGAAACAGGAAGGATATAGATGTTAAAAGCATAATAAGCCTCTTTACATTTGTTTGGCATCAGAATGTAGTATACTACTTAAAATCTACTTGATGAAGATTATATAGGTACAATGATTAGTATAAAAATTATACTGCACTGAAGTCAATTTACTACCTTTTATTTCTAGCTCCACCAGTGATCTGATATAACACAGGAATGGAGAGAGTATTAAAAAAATTCTACCTGCAAAAGCTGAGTATTTGCACCCTCCTAGTATTGATTTAGAACCTTTACATTTGTAAAATATTTTTAGAACCTCTCACAATGGTAAACCAAATATAATAGTATTTTGTCAGAAGCAGAATTCTTTCAAGCTGTAATTATTGAAAACTATTTTTTTAAACTAATTTTTGAAAGGAAATGAAAACATATGAGAAATTTTAAAAAATCCTATTGAATAATGTCACAACAGATCTGAATATCAATTAAATGACTCTACAAAACATATGGGGACAGAGGAACTTACTTTTGTAGAATGACTACTAGGTACCAGAGCCATCATATAGTCCAATATATAACACGAAACATTGTTATCGTTATTTTACAGGTAAGAATACAGTTTAACCCAAATAGGTGATACGTGTAGATCTGGAATTCAAACTCAGGTTAATTCCAAAGCTCTAGCTCCTTCTATCATATCCAAATGCCTCTTGTAGAGAACCTTCCCCTAATTGATACTTATGGTACTTAAGACTTTTTAAGTGTTAAGAAGAGATTCTAAAAGGCAGAAGAGGAGGACTTCTTCATAGAAGATCTAGAAGTCATCATATGGAAAATGAATTTGCAGTAATTCAATAAAAACACAGTTGAATCATCAATTTTCTGTAAAAATTTGTATCTAAAGATGAAATAAAAATACATATGTATGCACATCAATCTATAATAAATAAATCCTATATTATGGCTGAGAAGACAGGACAACATCATAGAAAGATAATACATTACTGCTAACAAAAGGGCTTAGCACTGAACTCTGCTAGGATTATGTAGACTGGATTCCTGCTGCTCCTTCTAGGATACTGGTTCTCACACACATTCTAATTCTTTATTTCTCAAGCTTTACTATCTAAAGGCACTGGGTTAGGAAATAGACATGAAGTTAAGTCACACAATTACGACATACTGTCTTTCACAGAGTGTAATATTACACACAGCAGATTCCAGTCTGAATATCACTGATCTAGAAAATTATGATCTAAGTAAATGAGATGTTTGAAATAACTCCCCAGCTGATTTGCTGCAAATAGTTCTTGGACATATAAATGTAAGTGTAACCAATCTTACCTTATTCCTAGAAGATGGTGGTTCTCTTAGCATTGTACGTTCCCTAAGTAGCATTATTTGCATTTAGATCCTTAAATACTGTTTGATAAACATTTAGGTACTTTTTGTGATTCCGATCAAGTTAGCCACTTGTTTTATAAACTTGAGCCAGTCAAGTATGGGAATAACAATGCATGCCTTAATCAAATGATGTAACCTGGAAAGCACTAAACTACAAAATACTAGACAATATAGGTTTCTAGAGAAGTCTGGGGGTCATCTATTCTCCCACCTGTCCTTATTAGATTCCTCAAGTTTCTTAAGAGGTGTCAATTCTAACACTCAGCACAGCTGACTGTAAGATAACTGTATTTAACCAACAAAAAAAGTAATTGCTGACTCTCAGCCCAAGACTTTTTAAATAAGCCCATGGCCACCTGTGGGCTATAAGCCATTACTGTTGGCACTCCTCTAACAGGGCCAGAAGGCAATTCTGTCTGGCTTTACTCTAAGCAGAAGAGATGAGCCAAGACCTTGAGACTCCTGCTGTATACAGGCTCTCACAGAGACTCTACAGGATTCAACTACCATGATGGAAGCCTGATTCCATCCCAAAGACATAAATGGCAAATCTTAGCCCCACAGGCATTTCATATTACAACTGTACAGTCTACTACTAAGTGGACTTTGGGACCCAGTGGCACTCAGCATAATTTATCCTGCATATGTCACTGCAAAGACAAAGGGATGACCAGGGAAGACAAAGATTGATAGACATAAAAAGTGAGCAAGAATGATTCCCTAGAGAAAGGATAGGAGGGGGAACGTAGACAGGCTCCTCATCACCGGCTCAAGACAGTAAAATGGCTTCATCTGACGGTCAAAGGGTAGCAAGCACCTGGGCCAATCTCTAATGAGACAGGTCTAGGCTTGGATAAAGAGTGACATCCACATGGGTGCCCTCAACGTCACTGTACATATTATTAGTGTCTTCTTTATATGAAGATCTCTCAAGAAAAATTTTCTTTTTACTTCGGAACTGGGGAGTAGCTATGCTATTCCTGAAACAAAACAAACTAGTTTTTATCTTATGGACTTAGGGAATTGAGTAACGGATGATGTATCCTTTGATACCAAAATGATCCAAAATTTTTTCCCTACCTTTAGAAAGAGCTGACTCTTAGAGTACTCTCTGTAAGGCATGGTTCTTAATGCTTTTCACAATCACCAATTCATGTAATCCTCACATTACTATACACGTATTAACTAATACAATGTCCCCAATGCAGTAGGAATATTTTTTTCAGATGAGGAAATCCAGGGACAATCAACTTGCCTAACGTCACAGATGCAGTAAGTGGCAGACTGGTATTAAAACCCAGGCAGTCTGGATCCTTGGTCCAAGCTCATTGGTGCTTTACTGTCTCTTACAGTAAGTATAAAGGTCAACATTTATATTAACCTTACTTTTGGCTTTATCTCGTTTTTCCTAATAAGGACATAACTTGGAGATATCATGAGTTTGGTTCCAGACCACCGTGATAAAGCGAACATAACATAGAGATAAAGCGAGTCACAAGAATTTTTTGGTTTCCCAGTGCACATAAAAATTAGGTTTACACTAGAGTCTATTTAAAGTGTGCAATAGCATTATGTCTAAAAATACAATGTACATACCTTAACTAAAAAACACATTATTGTTAAAAAAATGCTAACCAACATCTGACAATGCAGGGTTGCCACACACCTTCAGTTTGTTAAAAATGCATTATCTGTGAAGCACGATAAAATTTGATATGCCTGTATTACCTTTTCTTCAACCCAATTTTTTTCCGCTTAACTTCTAAAAAGAAAATTGTATATAGTGTGCATTTTTGTAAGCCCCTCTGAATTCACGCTGGAATAATACAGACGACTAGACATTAAAAAATAAATTCTACTCTAATTAGTCCCTACAGCACTTTATATGTAGTGATCAAAAAGTGTCGACTTAACCTATAAAAAGCAGTTCTGGATGCATGGAGAAACGGAACTCCTTGAGGTCTGGAACCTCGTCTTAACGACGTATACGCCCGAGAAATCAAGCATAAGTATTACTTTTTTAAAAATTAAGCTTTGAAAAAGTGTGTATTTTGTGGAATGGTCGGCTCAAGACGGTTGGAGACTTAGAAGAGAGCAAGGTTAGCTTCCAATCCTCAATAACGAGGAAGGCAGAACTCTGAAACTTGGACCAATCGGAGATGCTCGCGAAGAAGCAGTCCCTTCCCCGCTGCAGCCTAGGAGCCGTGAACCTAAAGATATTTTTCAGTTAGGGCAGCCTCAGAGTACCCGTTCCCAAAGGCGCCAGGCGGGAACCGTGAGCGCAGCCGCCCACATCAAAGCAATCCCTATTTCCTCGCCTTTCCCTCTCTCCTTCGCTGGAAGCCTCGGGAAGGTGGGCCGCTGCAGTCTCGGGGAGGCCCAGACCACCCCCACCCGCAGGTACACACCGCCGCTGAGGGCTTTCCTAGAGGTGCACCCTCCCCGCCTGAACAAAGAGGACTCTCGCCACCTCGACCTCCCGAGATCCCGGACCCACCTGAAGCCTCGGGAACGACACCGAGACCACAACCTACACCGGCGGTGAGCCCAGCCACCGGCGCCGGCGGAAGCTGCGGCCTCGGTACCCACCATTCGCCGCGCCCGCTCGAAGGGAGGGGTGGCTCCGATAAATTATTCCTCTTCTTCCTTCACTGCTTGACTCTTCTCATATTTCTTTTAGCTTCAACACATTGTAAATTCTTTAAAAATAAAACTTCGGCCCCAGGTGACGAGACTCGGTGTAAATGCCACCTCCTTCCTCCAGCTTAGTCCCTCCCACCCCCGAAGATGGTATCACCCCGGGTTTCCCCGCCTCCGCGGATCGCCTCCAGTTTCAAAATGGCGGCTGCCATTGAGGGGCTTCTGCTGCCTGATCGTCACCGGCGCTGCTGAGCCAACCTCATCTTTTCTCGCTCTTGAACCTGGATGCGACTAAGGGTTGGGAAGGGCAGTGGACGGCGTTGGGGGGAGGACTGACGAGGCAAGTGGGGGCGGAAGAAAGCAGTGCGCCTTTGCATGGGGGAGGGAACGTCTCGGCCCTCGGGGAGAGCCTGGCTCCGACTCCGACCCGGTCTCCGCCGCGGACGTTCCCCCAGGGTTGCGGGTGCGACTGTCCTGGTCGTTTCTGGCAGAAGTGTTCAGCGAGGGAAAGAGAGTGACTTCTCCAAGTGTCTAAAGCTCTCGGTCTTTTGTGGCAGTTCCTACGATTCACTCCCAGACTCTCCTTTCCTCCTTTTTCCTGTTTCCCTCCGGCCTTTCAGTCTCTCGTCGCTGGAGGAGTTAATCCGACGCCAGCTTTGGCTTCTTAGCATTGTGGCTACCTTGTTCTCAGCTTCCTCGCTCGGGGTCTTCCCGTCATTTCGGGTTGAGAGATCACGAGACTACTGGGCACAAAGTAGGCGTTCTTTTTAGTTAATCGACTCCAAAGACCTTTAAGACATTACAGTGCTTTGTTAAAACAGCCTCGGCCCTCCTCCAGCATCTCCTTTGAGCGCTTCCAGCATCATTACTCTATTTACGTGCTCTTCAGTAAACATGGGGTCAGAATAATTTTAACTCCGGCAAGGCTGGCTTCCTGTGACCAGGCGAGCCTGCGTTATCATTGCCCATGCCCTAAGTTTTAATTTTAGAACCCCTTTGACCGTGTTGTGAAACCCGTGCTCTCCCGGAATTGACCAGAAGGAGACTTTTCTCACTTGAGCTCCAGTGCTAACCCAGACTCTTTCGTTTTCCCGTAGATTTTGCATGGTTCCCCTCAGTTGTCATCAACATGCACGATCGTTATTGAGAGAGCAATTAACTGATAATTAAGGCGAAATGGTATCCGTCAGAAGTCACTGCCGGGAAGGAATTTATAATATGGTGAAGGTTCATTCCTTTCAGTACACATTTATGTTGCTTTGAGCGCTGTGCTTGGTATTGGAGTTAAAAAGATTCACTTTTACTCTTCCCCCATACGTTTAACGTCCATTCAGCATATATTCTTTGTGCCTACTTGTGCTAGCTAAAAATAAATAACATTGCCTGGAGACACCAAAATAGCTTTATAAAGGAGTAAGTATTTGAGTTGGGTCAGGAAGGGTCAAAAGGAATGTACTAAGCTCAGGAGAAGGTCATCCGTGGCTGCAGTACAGAGATGCAGAGACTTGAGAAGTTTTGGCATGCTTAGGGAGAGCGGGAGAATGAATGCGCTTGAGCATGCAGTGTAAGGGCGGTTGCAACAGGGAGATTGAGGTAAAGTTGTGAAGGACCTTGCTTTCCAAGGAAGGTGTTTAGATTTTATTCGGTATTTAGCCGGAAGTCAAGGACTGCTTTGCGCAAGGAAGGGGCATGAGGAAATTTATTTTTTAGGGTGGTCTCTCTGATAGCTGTGTGGAAGACCAACTTGGAACAGGAAAACTAGATGAGAGGAAATTGCAATCATTCAGGTAAGGTAATGAATGCCTCCTTTGAGGCAGGATAGTAAAGGATGTCAGACATTTCTGAAATATCAAATAGAATTCAACTGGTGGCAGCCAAAATGGTGATAAGAGGGTGACTTCAGAATTTTTAGTCTGGGAGACTAAGTGGTTGGTGATACCATTAAATAAAGCCTAAGACATGTACAAAATAGTATGGTGCCAACTTGCACTTTAGGAGTGGCAAAGCACAGTGCTCTACAGTCCAAAACATTGATTTTAGATTCTAGAAATCTCTGCTATTACAGTAGCCTCTAGCTACATGTCGCTATTGCACACTTGAAATTGTGGTTAGTTCGAATTGTGTTGTGCTGTAATTATAAAATACACACTAGATTTTGAAGGCTCAGTACCAAAAAAAATCTCAATAATTTCTTTAATTATTACATGTTGAGATGATAATATTTTGGATATATTGGGTTAAATAAAAGTAATTTCACCTGTGAAACTTCAATGTGGTTGTGAAAAAATTTTTTAATTATATATCTGGCTTGCATTATATTTTTGTTGGACAGAGCTGTTCTAGTCTAGACTAATGATAGAGGGATTAGTGAGGAAGTGGGATTTGAGCTGGGCCTTAAAATGATGATAGTCAATGGTGATGTCAGAGCAGCTTGCCGGCTCCCTCCATTGCCAGTTAAGGCATTCAGGTTCTGCTTTTTCAAGCAGTAGGAGGCCTTCAGAGATTTCTGAGCAAGGGATCCTAAGTGCAGGGGTGTTTTGGAAGATTAATCTGGTAGTAAGGTATACGTTGAGATGAAGGAAGGAGAGGCTGGAGGCAAAGAAACAGCAACTGAAATGTAAGGTAACGAGGCCCTGTATTAAGGTACTTCCAGTAGGAATGGAAAGGGAATGATAAATGTATGAGGCATTCTCAGGGGGAAATAATCAGCAGTTGGTAGTAGTCTGTTCAAGAAGTAAAGGAAGGAATAACACAAGGAGTGTTTCAAGCCTTGGTTATTTAGATGACAATTAAGAAGTCATGTCATAGAGTTACAAGGTACATTTGAGTCTAAAGAAATTTAGTCTCAAAATAGAACCAGCAAAGTTGAAAGGAGGAAGTGTGCTGCTAAATACCTAAATACTCTCCTTTTTTATCTCCTTGCTTTCTCTATCTTCTTTATCTAATCATGTACCCCAGCTAGTTTTTCTAAAATACAGAACTACCTGTATCACGTCATCTTACTTGATAAGTGATCTTAAAATGTTTCTCTGTTGCCTGTTCTCTGTTCAACAATTAGAACTGGGTCCAAAGTTTCTAAGGCCTTTCATTAGCTGGCCCTTTTCTATTCATTAGGACTTTTCTTTAATTTTTTGCTTATATGAAAGTGTGCCAGGCTACTTTTGTCACTGGTACTCTAAGTTTTTGTTTTATGCCTTTTATCATGTTATTCCCCTGTTTGAATAGCTTTTTCTCTTTGTCTCTTTCTGCCCACGGCCTACCAGTCCTTACCTATTGAATAATTTATGATCCCACCTCTTTTCTGATTCTCAATAACATAAGCTAATGTCAGTTTTTAAAATCTTATTTCCTAAGCTGCATATTTCAGCCCCTGATTAGAGCCAATTTCATGTTATTTATTTTTGTCTTTTATTATCTTAGTCCTATTTTTTTTATGTAAGTTTAGGCTTCCTATAATTATGACAAACGTATTATTTATTTATTTATTTATTTATTTTTTGTGGTACGCGGGCCTCTCACTGTTGTGGCCTCTCCCGTTGCGGAGCACAGGCTCCGGACGCGCAGGCTCAGCGGCCATGGCTCACAGGCCTACCCGCTCCGCAGCATGTGGGATCTTCTCGGACTGGGGCACGAACCTGTGTCCCCTGCGTTGGCAGGCGGACTCTCAACCACTGCGCCACCGGGGAAGCCCGACAAATTTATTTTTTTTAACAAAGAATCATATAGGGACTTCCCTGGTGGGCCAGTGGTTAAGAATCTGCGCTTCCACTGCAGGGGGCACTGGTTCCATCCCTGGTCAGGGAACTAAGATCCTGCATGCCTCGCCACACGGCCAAAAAAAAAAAAAAAAAAAAAAAAAGGAGCATATGTTATTCTATTTGCTCAAGGTTTTCACCTTAGGGCAAGACATAGACGTTAAATACTGTAATTAAAAACAGAAGTAAATCATTATACCGCATTCGTGAGACTCTTATTTCTTTATTTTTTAGATTTTAAAGAACTCTTTCTTTGAATTCATGGTGTTTCATCTTATATACGACTGAGATACCAGTAAGTAAAGACTGTCTAATAAAGATACAGCTTTATTATATTACAAGCAATTGTAATAAAAATCTTTTCATCTATTGAAATCTGGGTCTGTCTGCAAAAAAGTTTTAACATGAGCTCATTCAGTTCTACCTGCAAGAAGCTTTGTATTTTCACTTCATACTCTAAATAAGGAAAGTGGGGGGTAAGGTAGATTTGAGTAGGAAAAGTTTCTCTTAGGCCATTAATATAATTGTGGTACAGGGAGATTCAAGTCCTATCCAAAACTGTACTTACAAATATTTTTAATTTTTAATTTTTCATCAGATAGAGAATTAGTATCTTTGTATATCTCATACCTTACAAATAGGAACACACCAAGTCAATATATTTTTTTAAATTAATTAATTAATTAATTAGACTGCGTCAGGTCTTAGTTGCAGCACACAGGATCTTTGTTGTGGAGCGTGGGCGGGCGCAGGCTTCTCTAGTTGCGCTGCGCGGGCTCCAGAGCACACAGGCTTCTCTCTAGTTGTGGCATGTGGGCTCATTAGTTAGCGGCACGCAGGCTTAGTTGCCCCGTGGCATATGGGATGTTAGTTCCCCAACCAGGGATCGAACCTGCGTTCCTTGCATTGGAATGCGGATTCTTAACCACTGGACCACCAGGGAAGTCCCTAAGTCAATATATTTTTAATTTTAACTTCTTTGTTTCAGTAACTATTTGTTAAACAACCACTACGTGTAAGATGTGCTAAAATAGTAAGGATACAAAAATAGATCAAACCTAGTCCTGCATTCAGAGAGCTCTCCCAAGCCAGAGGAAACACATGTAAATAGGTAGCTGTTAATGGTGTGGTAACAGCATTAAGCTCATTTAATACCAGCCATCTTCATTTACTCATTTAAGAAGCATTTACTGACCACCACTATGTGTTAGGCACCGTGGGGTGTTGGAATATAACTATGATCAAAATAGACCAAGTCTCTACTTTCATGGAGTCATTATTCTGGTGTGGAGGTTAAGAGGAGAGAAGGGGATGGACAAAGTGAGTAAGTAAATAAGCAGCAAGTGCATGTGGGCACTAAGTATTTTGAGGAAAATAGAAGGAAGATACACATTATAGGATGTAACTGAGGTGGGGATGGACTTTAGGGTGGTCAGAAAATGTTTCTGAGAGAATAAATTTGAGGCAGGGAAAATAATAGCTCAAACTAGTTAGAGATCTTGGTGACAGTGGAGATAGAAAGAAATACTTGAGAAATTATTATACTTGAGAAATACAATAGAAGTAAAAATGCAGGACTTATTGATGGATTGGATGTGAGCAACAAGTTAAGGAAGGAATCAAGGATGATGCCATTAGAGGCCAGATGGTCTTAATGCTGTGGGATTGGGTAAGATTGCCTAGAGAGAAAAGAGAAAAGAAAGTCCTGCTGAAAAGCACTGCCTCATTTAGAGGTTGAGGGGAGAAAGAGGTATTAACTAAGGTGAGTGAAGAATGGCCAGTTAGATATAAAGAAAAACAGGAGAGGGTTGACAGAGGAGAAGAGGAAGGTGTTTCTGGAAGGATGGAGCTGTTACTTTTGTTGATTGCTGCTACGATTTCCAGTAATTTAGGACCACAGAAATGTCTGTTGGCTTCAGTTGTATAGAGGTTTGTCAGTGACCTTGATGAAAGCTCTTGTAGTGATAGGGTAGAGAAAGAAGTCAGATTTAGTAGTGTGAATGGGAGCTGAGAAAGTGGAGACACATCTGTGGACAAATATTCTGAGAAATTTTGCTGTGAAAGGGGAGTGTAGAAATGATGAAGCAGTTGCAGGGGATTGGAGAATTAAGAGAGGGTTCTTTTAAGTTGGGAAATTCTAGAGTATCTTTGTATGCTAATAGGAATGGTACATCAGTGATACGTTGATGATACAGGAGAAGGAGGAGATGACTGAAGAAGTTATCTTTAGAAGAGAAACGAGAGTGGGATTCAGAGCACATACAGGGGATTGGCCTTGGATGAGAGCTGAGCTATTTGTTCGTTATGATAGGAGACACAACAGTATACATGCAGATAGGTTAACAGCGTATTTGGAAAATGAGGGGTTACTGTCTGATTACTTTTATTTTATAATTGAGGAATGAGGTGAGATTATCAACAGAGAGTAGGGTGGAGAGAAGGGGGTGTGATACTTGAGCAGAGAAGAGGAGATGTGAAATGATGGTCTCAGATGGAAAGTCAACCTACTAAGAAAAATCAGATTGATAGGTAGGACATAGTGCCTGTTTGAGATCTTTGGCCATGAATTTGAAGAGCAAATAGCATAGTTTTGTGATTGGTTTTTTTTTCCCCTTCTGGCAACATTGAGCTGCTGGAATAGACAAAGTGAGTCATTGGAATCAATGAGGGTTGGGATTTTGCCAGCCTCGTACAAAGAAGGATTAGAGCAGCAAGATAGTTGAGAGTATTTTGCAAAATAATCATGATGGATCGCTGATCAATGGTAAGACATGAGTGGAGACAGGAGGGGGTCATGGACAGTGAAAAAGTAGCCAGTGATAGAGATACCAGTGAGGCTAAAGGATTTTTGCAGTGGGAATTCTAGAGTAAGGAAGAATTCTAGAGTAAGGAAGGTGGGAGTGAGAGAGGGAGATAGTTGAAGGTGATATTTTGAAAGTGCTGCAGCTTATTGGCCATGATAAGGTCATGGTTGTGACTGTGGTGGTGGGTAGGTGAAGTGAAATGAAGATTATTGGAGTTGAGAAAGTGAAGGAACTAAGAGGTCAGTATTGAAGCTACTCAGAGGAAGACTGAGTCAGGAACTAAAAGTCCTCAGTGAGTGAGGTCAGATTAATAGATGCCAGCAGTAAGGAAGAATAGGAAAGGCTCACAGTGAGCTGGCTGGGCAGCATGACCTTCAATGGGACTGGAGTATTTTGAGGAGGAAGGAGAAGACAGGTTGGAAGCTGCAGTGAGGAGGAAGGAGCACATCCTTCCTGCTTCGGAGGTCAGGGAGTACAAGAGGAAAAAAGGCCTCTTGAGAAGACTGCAGGAGAAACTAGGTTTCTGTGAAGATTTGCAGGTGAGGAGAATGTTCAGAGAAGAGGTTGAAGTTCCAGGTTAGTGCAGTAGTTCCAGAGGGCATACTGAAAGGATTTCGGAGGGAGAAGAGGTAGTGGATTGGGTCCAATTAGATGTACGCGTCAGTGACTACGGATAACCTAGGAGTCTTGGATGTTTGGCCATGACCGAGGTGAACAAGGGTGGGAGATACGATATGGCAGGATTAGCCCCCGACAGCCTGTTAAGAAAGGTGGGCGGTTTACCTTAGTTTGTTGAGATGACCTTGGGCAGATGGCGAGGGATCGTGAGATATGCAGTGACCTCTCTTACTTGCGTAGTTAGCCAGGAAAGGCTAAAGCTAAGATCTGAAATGTAGCTGTGGAGTTGTACTTTGCTAATCAGTGTTTTTAATAACATCTGTTTAATAGCACACAAATTCTAGGTCCTAAATTCCAGTACATGTGTTCATGTTGTATCTTCTTGAAATATGTAGTAGGCATCCTGACTATATTCTATCAAGTATGTGTTGAGCACCTACTATGTGTCAGGTTCTCTTTTAGAAATTACAAACATAAGGTGCTACCTCTGTTTTTCAGTTGCTCACATTCCAGTGCAAGAGTTCTTAACATTAAACTCCCTGAAAAATACATGAATTTTTACATGTATATGGGCCTTTTCATCTTTTTTTAAGGACTGGGGGGAGAAGGAAAGGTCCATAGCCCTTTATCAGATTCTCGGGGGCGGGGGTCCCTTTATTTAAGAACCCCTGGTCTACTAGTAGAGAAAGACCCATAAACTAATAACTGTAATGAGGTGTAATTACTGTCATCACAGAGCAAAATAAAGGAGGAAGAAATTTACCGTGAAGAATAGGTTCACTAATTTAGTATACATTTATTTATTGAGGAACTTTGTAGCCTCCATTCTAGGTAATTTACACATTATTTGAAATCTTCCAACATCCTTTCTATGTATATATTAATACTCATGATTTATAGACTAGGATACATAAGTGAGGAAATGTTAATTAACTTGCCCAGAACCACATAGGAGTAAATTCAAATACGGGTCTGTCTGATTCCAAAATCTACTACTTTTCATTAAACCACACTGGGGAGCCACAGAAGGACTCTTCGTAAACAGGAGTGTGTAAGATTATGTTTGTACCTTTACGCTTAGCAATGATGGAAATAGGTCTTTAAAATGACTTTTATGTTTAACTATGTTTTTATTTCTATTGAAAGAACCTTTTGGATTGTTGTTATTGGACCGAAAAAATGACATCTATTATCAAATTAACTACCCTTTCTGGGGTCCAGGAAGAGTCTGCTCTTTGCTATCTTCTCCAAGTCGATGAGTTTAGATTTTTATTGGACTGTGGCTGGGATGAGCACTTTTCTATGGATATTATAGATTCCCTGAGGAAGTAAGTTGCTGTTAATATTTCCACACTTTTAGTAAATCAACTTCTCTTTTTTACACTGTTATACCATTTTGATGTTACACAGTATTTGCTTTTTTGCTCTAATTTAGTTGATAGTAAAATGTTTAGTTTTACTTATGCTGAAGAGCCAAATACTGACTGTTTTTATTTGTGTAGTTTTGATTGACTCAAGCTGTGTTTATTGAAATTCAGCAAAATATTAAGTTAATTGTTACTTGCTCGATGGAACTCAGTAGAAATTTTTGCACCCTAATTTTAGAAAAAGAGTAAGATTAAGTTTATAAGAATTTGAATAGAGGAAAAACCTTCCTTGTAAAAGTTCTTCAGTCAGATCACATTAGCTTATTTTCTATTATCTTTTGATGCAATTCCTGTTATCTTTTGATTCAATTTGAGAACTGATACTTAGAATAAAGACCGTGAGATACAAAAGGATACTAATCCGTCAAAGAAAAATTTAGTTACGTTAGCAGTATTGTACTAATTATGGAAGGAACCAGGACTTAAACATTTAAAACACTTAGAACTTGTAGCAAAAATTTTTTTTCTTATTTTTTTGTTGATGAGAACATATTATTCATTGACTAATTGAAGTTTTACTATCATGAATATACTGTCAGTCACCATGCTAAAAAGCTGAGACAAAAATCCATAATAAATATGTGGCCTCTTAAATATCCTTTCCTTAACAATTTCTTAAATTCTAAGCTGAGTTCTTGAACTTAAATTAATAGTATACAAGATAGCCACTTGAAATCAGCTTATGTGTGGTGTCTACTGTTTCCCTTTCTTTTTCCTTTTTTTAAAAAAATGTGTCTAGACACTATATATTTATGTGCAACTTATACCATAGTTTTGATCTCTATGTAGGACAGGGATAGTAATAATTGAAATTCATAGGTAACATAATTTTAGCTCTTAGTTTTTTTCTTTTACCCCAGCATAGTCTTCGATTCAGAGTACTGAGAGGAATCAGAACTGGCAAATTAATTTTGAGTATCCTGCCTTTACCCTTGGGAACAAGACTGAGAAATAGTCATTTTGATTGTGTTCTAGGCATGTTCACCAGATTGATGCAGTACTGTTGTCTCACCCCGATCCTCTCCATCTTGGCGCCCTTCCGTATGCTGTCGGAAAGTTGGGTCTGAACTGCGCTATCTATGCAACCATTCCTGTTTATAAAATGGGGCAGATGTTCATGTATGATCTGTATCAGGTAATTTAAGCAATTAAAAAAAAATTTTTAACACTCCTGCAGTGAACATTTTTAACCTTTTATTTGTGTTGTTCTTTTAGTCCCGACACAATACAGAAGATTTTACACTCTTTACACTAGATGATGTGGATGCAGCCTTTGATAAAATACAGCAGTTAAAATTCTCTCAGATTGTGAATTTGAAAGGTAAAACCTGTTTCCAGTAGCAAATAATTGGACTAATGGGGTTTAAACTACTGAAAAGTACAAGGGGAATTTGTCATAAAAATTATAGGCACTATTGTCTGAAGAATAAAAAATTAGCATTTTTTCATAGGGAACTATGAAATTCCCCAAAGTCATTTGAATTTTAAAATATTCCAGACTATATTCTAACAAAATGTAACAGCTCAAGCCTTTTCACATTTAATTTGGGAAACACTTATTTAGTGTTTACTGTATATAGTGCACAAAGGTAAATGTGGCCAGATTCTCTCCCTAAGAGCTCATAGTTAGGTTGAGGACAGTAGATCAGATGTAGGTTGAGTAGCTCAGATGACTAAATGTAGTGACTGAAGTCAATGAAGTGCTATGGCAGCACAGAGTAGAACATGCCTGAATTCTAGAATTGAACATTAAAAGAAAATCGTCATTTAATTAGGTCAGGAAGTCATATATTAAGTATACATTTTTCATCTATAGAGAGAATTATATTAAAACATTCTCATAAATTTGACCCCATAAATATGAAAAAATGGCACAAAATGGACTCTGAAGATTAGCCAGGAAGTAACAATGGTCTTAACAGTTTTGCTTGTACTTGTTTTCTGTACGATAATTCTTTACCATAATGAGATAAGAATTGTCAGTTTAGAGGTTAGGGAAGATGGAAACACTTGATAATTATGTGCACAATAGAAATATTAAAATTTATTAGTTCATGCTAAGTTATTAAATAGTAATGGCAGTCTCTAGCCTTCTATTTATCAGCACAAATATATCTGCAAGCATATATAATAAAATGACAAGAGTGCCTGCATAAAGGTATGGGGTAGCTGGGGGACAGGCGGGTGAGACTTGCATTTCACTGTATGCCTTTTTACTTCTGAATTTTGTATCATTGCATATGTTACCTATTTAAAAATAGCTAAAAATAAGTAACCTTTCTTTAGGATTGTAAAAAGAAATCTGAGTACTGTCGTTATCTTGTTGACATAGGTAAAGGACATGGCTTGTCTATCACACCTCTACCAGCTGGTCATATGATAGGTGGAACAATATGGAAGATAGTCAAAGATGGAGAAGAAGAAATTGTTTATGCAGTTGACTTCAACCACAAGAGGGAGATGTAGGTATATCAAGACAAAAGCTAATGGAAATGCAATTCGTATTATTTCATTCTTTGGTGGGAAAATTAGAAACAAAGTTATTTTTTTAACTAGAAATCTAGAGCAATTTAAAAACATCAAACAGTGAATGTTTTCAGAGTTATTTGCATTGTAAGGGAAAAAGTTTGATATGAGATAAAAGACATTGTTTTGAAATTTACATGCAAATATCCACTTATAAAACAGATTTCTCTCTGGAGATGTTGCAAAGGAGATTAATTTTTGTACAACAAATTATATTTTATATGTTCTTGACCTATTTAGAGGAACTTTGCAGGTGGGGTTTTTTTTTTTCTGTTTTTGATAAAGTCATTGATACCATCTAATATAACTATATTTAAAGTCAAACTCTCTTTAAAAGGGGACACAGTAGTTTAATTTTAAAACTTCATTTTGTACTTACAGCATTTCTATAAAATTGTTTTGGCTTCTTTTGTAATTTCTGTACATCAAGTACATAGCTATTCTATATTAGATTACAGTATCCTCAAGATCTTTTGTATCTTTTTAAGAAATATTTAAGACTAATAAGTTGAATGTTAGGCTCTTGTAATCACAGGTTAATGAGGAAAGATGGGTATTTGAGTAAATGGTATTCAAATATTTTGGGAAAAAACTTGGTTTGTGTTTTTTTTTTTTACCACATAATGAAATAAATTTCAGTTGGATTAGAATTAAATAGAAAATGAAACAGTATTGGTGAGTCTGATCTCTTGATTTGGAAAAGACTTTGTAAGACTTGGTCCACTGCAGAGAGGCAGTGGACCAAGTTGCAAAGGAAGACTGCTAGATTTGATTACATACAGGTTTAAAATGTCTGAAACAAACTAAATTAAAGACCTATAAACGAGGGAAAATATTTACATCAAGTTGAGCAAAGACTTATTTATAAGACCAGGTATTAATCAATCAAAAAGATACCAGTTGCAAAATGGACAAAAGTTATAAAGTCAAAAAAGAGAAAATTTAAATGATAATGATTTTTTAAATTAAATACTGTTAAAATTGTTTTTAAATGGTAGTATTCTTCTGGGAAATATTTAGTGAGTTGGTCATTCTTTCTGGTTGAACCTTTCTGGAAAAGGGAGAGCTTTCTGAAAAAGGTTAAACCTTTCTGGAAAGCCATTTAGCAATATCATGTATTCTAGTAAATACATTTCTAGGAATGTGTCCTAAAGAAACAACTAGAAATTGTTGCAATTGAAGCTTTTTGCAAAAGTTTTCTTTGACAGATTATTTATAATGGCAAAAAAAAAAAGTAACCTAAATATCAATAAAGGGAAATGACCAAATAAATATTGTACAAACACAACAGAAAGCTTTTATAATTGTTAAAAATCAGATTTAGAAAATGATTTTAATGTCATGGGAGAAAAGTAGGATATAGAACTGAGTATATAATCATATACATGGGATATCACCTTTGTAAAACACATATACCTATATACGCATAGAAAAATTTATGTACTTAGAAGATATACCCCAAAATATTATATCAATTATCTTTTTTTTTTTTTTTTTTTTTTTTGCTTGCGGTACGGGGGCCTCACACTGTTGTGGCCTCTCCCGTGCGGAGCACAGGCTCCGGACGCGCAGGCTCAGCGGCCATGGCTCATGGGCCTAGATGCTTCGCGGCATGTGGGATCTTCCTGGACCAGGGCATGAACCCGTGTCCCCTGCATCGGCAGGGGGACTCTCAACCACTGTGCCACCAGGGAAGCCCTCGATTATCTTTTGAGTGATGGTACTCTGGAAGAGCTTAATTTTCCTTTTTTGAATTTATCAGATTTTCTTATCAAGGAACATGTATACTTTTATAGTTAGAAAAGGAAAAAACCTTATAAAAGAAGTTATTTTTTAGGTAAGAAAAGCTATTGTTTATTTGAAATGATATAAAGTATTCCTCTTCTTCAACTTCGTTATAGCCACTTAAATGGATGTTCCCTGGAAATGCTAAGCAGACCCTCTCTACTTATCACAGATTCATTTAATGCTACGTATGTGCAGCCGAGGAGAAAACAAAGAGACGAGCAACTTCTGAGTATGTATTGCATACTGTCCTTTGTACAGAGCTGTGGAAGTACATGGTAGTATGAATTACTGTTTATTCTGTTCTGTTTGACATTTTTCTTGTCATATGAGATTGGCTAACTCTAGTATTTTTGAAAAAATATTATGTGACCATATCAATATTTTTACAAAAAGATGCTTTAATTGGTTTGAATTTAACTTCTGTGGGATAGGTATAAAGATTGGTTTCTTCCTGCCATTCAGCACATAGCTAGCTCTCACTGGTATATGTCTAGGGAACATCAAAATATATAAAGATCTCGTATAAATCTACTAGAAAAACATTTACACTCGAAAAGAAAAATGAACAAAGGAGGTAAATGAGGGTGCAAATAGTCTGCTGATTTTGGTGTTTGGGTGTTTTATGCTCTAGTCTAGTAGTCTTGATTCTAAAGAGATGTATCTCGGCCATCCCTGGTTGCTTCTGCTTTGGCTTGAGCCCTATTACCTTACATTCTTTTTTTGTAAGCTGCATGGGAATTCAACAGGGAAAATTGGATTCCACTTTCAACATGTTTGATACCACTGCCTTCATTTTTCTACTTAAAAAGTATGACTTATATACTGTGTTACTCTAACTTTTAAGAAGTTTTCAATTCTTGGTATTTTTTTTGTTGTTTGTTTGTTTTTGCTAGAGTTTGATTTGACTAAATATTTCCAAGCAGACTTTTATCTAGAAAGTCTTTTATTGGAAGAGGGAATATTATTTATCTTTTATTCTACAGGCATACATACATACAAAATATGTATGTATTAATCTAAACTATAAATGTGTGTGTATAAATTTGGGAATTATGTTTTATAATGAAGTTCATTGAGGTAGGCAGGTAAGACCAGAGTGAGCTGGAAACCCAAGGCTGATTGCATTTGCCTTATTCACCCAATTTTCCCGGTATACTATACAAATGTCATTTTCTATGTATACTGTGGGGGAAAGGGTTGGAAACCACCGATTTATAATTTTTCAATGGAAAAAAAAATTGAGAGTTAATGGCATTCTTATAAATTATAGTCTTCATAGTAAAAACATGGAGATAAAGTTATCTTTAATTTTATAGCAAAGTATTGTTATGTTCTATAAGGATTTTACATTCTTGTTTTCTAGCAAATGTCCTGGAAACACTTCGAGGTGATGGAAATGTGTTAATAGCAGTGGACACTGCTGGCAGGGTTTTGGAACTTGCTCAACTCCTTGATCAAATTTGGAGAACTAAAGATGCAGGATTGGGTGTTTACTCATTGGCACTCCTAAATAATGTCAGTTATAATGTGGTGGAGTTTTCTAAGTCCCAGGTTTGTTTTCATGTTATCATTTGTAATAAAGATGTTTTCTGCAGAGATTGGGCTTATGGAAAACAATGTGTTAATTGCCCTTTGGATTTTCTTTTTCTCTTGGGGTTGATGATAATAATGTTGGTAATGATGATGATGATGATAAAAACTAAAAATCAACCACTTACTGTTCTGTACATTTTGTGTATTATTTTCATTTAATCCTTATATATCCTATGAAGTAGGTTCTGTTTTTGTCCCCATTTTACAGACGGGGCAACTTGGTTCTCTAATGCTTAGTATCACAATCTGTAAAATGACGGCAAAAGTAGAACCTACTTCATAGGATATAATTGTTAGAATCTGTTTTTCTCTTCCTTTTGGATAAGCTCTTTCTCTTGAAGTAGCAATGTCTGGGGTAAGATATTCATTTAGAACTTATATACCGCCTTCTGAATAAGATTTAAGGTGACTTATAACTGAAACGTAATGCAAAATGAGATTTCTAGGGATGAATTTCTGGGAAGATCTGATGGGGAATAGAAACAGACAATAAGCTGCTTATTAACATGGTACAAATATAAGCAGCCATTGGTGGAAAAAAGACTTTAAACAAGATGGAATTTGAACTCCTTGACTATTGTAGGATACATTGAGGTTTTAATACAGTATTTTCTAATTATTGTCACCTTTTCCCCCCATATTAGGTAGAATGGATGAGTGATAAATTGATGAGATGTTTTGAAGACAAAAGAAATAATCCATTTCAGTTTCGTCATCTCTCTCTATGTCATGGTCTTTCTGACTTGGCTCGAGTACCTAGCCCTAAAGTGGTACTTGCCAGCCAACCCGACCTAGAATGTGGATTTTCAAGGGATCTCTTTATTCAGTGGTGCCAGGACCCTAAAAACTCGATCATTCTAACTTACAGAACTACTCCTGGGACTTTAGCACGTTTCCTAATTGATAATCCTTCTGAAAAAATTACAGAAATAGAGGTAAGTGCTTGTATCTGAACTTTATCTTTTTTCTTTTTTGGCCGCACTCTGTGGCGTGTGAAATCTTAGTTCCCTGACCAGGGATTGAACCCATGCCCCTTGCAGTGGAAGCACGGAGTCTTAACCACTGGACTGCCATGGAAGTCCATGAACCTTATCTTAAAATTGTTTTGGGGGGTACATTATACAAGATGTTTATAACAGTGACCCAAAATAAAACTTGGAGTTGTTTCAGGATTTTTATCTGACTAACAGTAGAGAAGCTTTAATAGCACATATTTCAGAGCTCCTTAATTGGAAACTCTCAGTATTGAACCCTTCCATGGTACCCTCTGGAACCATACCCAGAGAGTATGCATATATGCTGTATTCTTATTTGCTCTTTGAAAAATTCCTTTCACATCCTTCCTGTAATTGAAATCTGGCTATTTCCTAATGATTTCTTTTTCCTGTAGCCTTTTCTTTCATGCTTCGTGTACTTTGGGCGGGGTAGGTATCCTTGTTCTGTGTTGCAGCTTTCAAGCCATTTCTCTTCCCTCTGTAGTTCATGCTGTCAGACTTGAAAATACACTGACCCCTCCTTGTTTCAGACACTGATCTCTTGGTCATTCTCTGTTGTTCATCGGTGACTTTAGACCCTGGTTCACAGTCTTCCAGTCCACTCATACTCAGGACTCTATTCTTGATGACTTTAGCATCCATATGTATGATTTATCCAGTTTTTGGCCCTCTCAGTTCCTTGACACCTTATTTCTTAATGATCTTTTCCTCCACTCCACCTCAGCCATCCCTTCCCATGATCACGCTGTCCACTCCCATGGTCATACCTTTAACCTTGTTATGATCTCCAGATCTCTCAAGCATCCCACTCTGGTCTCATAGCTGACTTTCTCTAGTACTCTCATGCCAACAATTCTTTGGTCCCATTGGGACTTTCAATTCATGAACCTCACCACTTCTGCTAATCATCATTGTTCCATTTTCTGGCTGTGTTGGGTCTTCATTGCTGCGCACAGGCTTTCTCTAGTTGCGGTGAGCGGGGGCTGCTCTTCGTTGCGGTGAGTGGGCTTCTCATTGCGGTGGCTTCTCTCTTGCGGGGCACAGGCTCTAGGCGCGCGGAATTCAGCAGTTGTGGCGCATGGGCTCAGTAGTTGTGGCTCACGGGCTCTAGAGCACAGGCTTGGTAGTTGTGGCGCATGGGCATAGTTGCTCTGCGGCATGTGGGATCCTCCCAGACCAGGGCTCGAACCCGTGTCCCCTGCATTGGCAGGCGGACTCCCAGGCACTGCGTCACCAGGGAAGCCCCATATGTCTAGGGTTCTTTGCCCTCTCACCTTGTTAGGGGTATTTCTTCTGTAGTTATTCTTTTTCTCTCCATTATCTATCACCTTTTCCCTCTACTTGGTGACATCCAAAATAATTTTTACTATTCCTTCTCTACTCCCAAACTTGTTCTTCTCTGAGTCTTCCTCATGTCATGGAATAGCAATGCTTTCCACATATTTATTCAAGCCCCAAATACAGAAATTTTAAAAATGTTCATTGAAGTGTAATATATACTGAAAAGTTTGCATATTGTAAGTGTACAGCGTGATGAATTTTCCCAAATTGAACACACCTGTCTAGCTTATACCCAGATCAAGAAACAGACTATTACCAGTACCCCAGATACCCCCTTTCTGATCCTCCCTATCCTTCCAAGGGTAACCACTATCCAGGCTTCTAATGCACAGATTATTAAAATTTATTTTCAGTTCCTTACTTTTCTCTCACTACCCATATCTAATCCAGGAGCAAGTCCTATTGACTCAACCTCCAGATATATCCTAAATTCGCCTACTTTTCTCCATCTCCACTCCCAATCATCCTAGCCCATGCTAAGTGGTGTTGCCTGGACTGTGCAGTGGTTTTCTAATTGGTTTCACTGTTTTTACTTTAATACTCCCATAATCCTTTCTTCTCATAGCAGCCAAAGACATATCTTTCCCTTTCACTCTGTCTCTGTCTCTCATTTTATTGTGGTAAAGCCACATAACATTAAATTTACCATCTGAACCATTTTTAAGGGTCCAGCACAGCAGTGTTAACTATATGAACATTGGTGTACAATAGATCTCTAGAACTTTTCATCTTGCAAAAAGTTCTGTACCCATTGAACAACTCCCAAAGGCATCTTTTAAAAATTCATCATTTCATGTCATTCCCTTGCTTAAACCCTCAGGTGGCTTCCTTCTACTCTTTGAATAAAATTCACACTCCTTACCTGGGCTTTCAAGATCCCACTGATCTGATCTCCACCCACTTTTCTGACCATATCTCATTCCATTGTCTTTATGCTCAACACTGCTTCACTGCATCAGGGTCTCCTGCCTCTGATGTTCTTCCCAGCTTTGCACTTGGTCACTCCTTGTCATTCAAGTCTGTTTAAAGGTCACCTCCTCAGGTAGGGCTTCTCTGACTACCAGCCTACTACTCAGTTAGTTGCCAACCCATCACATTACTTTATTTTTCCTAGCTCCCATTGCTATCTGATATTTTCCTTTGTTTGTTGTCTTCCTTTTCCTACTACCAACTAGAATACAAGTTCCATGAGAAAGGGATCTTGTTTTTTTATATCCCTAGCACCCAGAACAGTGCTTGGTATATTGAAGGTCCTCAATAAATGTGTTGGTTGAATTCATGAATGACCAAATAGGTGAATAGGCAATAAACCAGATTTCTTATCATGTTAGATAAGAGTTTACTATGTATGGTATTTTTTCATCTACATTTATCATTCTCTAGAGTCAAATCTTACTCATTTAAGAAGAGCAAAAACAGTAAATGAATAAGGATTAATGAATTGGAGTAAATTTGATTAGGAAAAAGGAATAACTTGGAGGTAATACAGTGAAGGACTAGGGAGAAAAACATCTTAGGGTTGACTGTTCTAGGAATCTGTTTTTGAATATAGTCGTTAACTTCAGATACCTTAAATGAAAAATAAGATGGAGAGTAAAATTTATTATACAACAGGCATAAACTAAATCCTGAGGTAAATGTTCTGTCAAAGTTTATTTGTGGTTAAGATAGAGATCTATGTAAATTGCTGAGAGTGTGTACTACAGGAAAATAATGACACTTTTCTAAATTGAACTTATTTCCAAGTAAGCAAATGTGGGATGCCAGGTATAACATGTAAATCACTCTTTCATCCTATATAGTAGAAACACTTGATTTCGGTTTAATTTTTTTTGTTGCTTTTTATTTTAAAATAATTTCAATGTTAACAGAAAAGTTATAAAAAATAGTATGCCCAGATTTCCCAGTTGTCAACATTTTACTGGATTTGCCTTATGACTTCTTTTTATACATATAGACACAATATTAGATATTTTTTTGAAAGTAAGCTGCAGGTATTCCATCATTACCTCTAAACACAGCAGTGTGTATTACCTAGAAACAAGGACTCTCCTGCAAAACTGTTGTATAATACATCCATTGAAATAAGGAAATAAGCACCGATATGATACTACCATTTCATCCACTGACTCCCCTTGACTTTTGGTGAATGCTCCAACAACGTCCTTTATAATTATCCTTTCCTTTTTTTTTTTTTTTTTTGCGGTACGTGGGCCTCTCACTGTTGCGGCCCCTCCCGTTGCGGAGCACAGACTCCGGACGCTCAGGCTCAGCGGCCATGGCTCATGGGCCTAGCCGCTCCGCGGCATGTGGCGGATCTTCCCAGACTGGGCCACGAACCCGTGTCCCCTGCATCGGCAAGCGGACTCTCAAGCACTGCGCCACCAGGGAAGCCCAACCCTTTCCTTTTTTGTTCGGAATCCCATCCAGGATTACACATTGCATTTAGTTGTCATGACTTGACATTTTTGAAGTATATATGTTCTAGATTTCTTTTTCTTTTTACATACAAATATCTATATGATTTTTTTTAAAAAAGAAATGGGGCCAAATTATCCACATATTTTTGAACAGTGAAAGTAGATACAGATTTACTGTATTTAATACTTGGTATTAATAAATTTTCAAATGTTTTTGAATAAATGAATGAATTCTTTTTAATAATTCTTTAATAATACATTATGTATACGTACTTTGATTATTTAATCCAGTGGTTCCCAAAAGTATGGTGTAAGGACCCGTGGAGACTACCTGAGATGCTTTCATGGAGTCCACAGACTGTTTTTCATGATAATATTAAGATGTTATTTGCCTTTTACTGTGTCTACATTTATATTGACGAGTGAAAGCAATGGTGGGTAAAGTGCTGGTGCCTTAGCATAAATCAGGGCAGTGGCACCAAACTGTATTAATCACTGCATTTTTCATTACCACACACTTGTAGTTCAAAAAAGTCAGTTTCACTTAAGAATGTCCTTGATGAAGCAGTAAAAGTTACTAACTTAATTAAATCCTTTTAGTAAAAAGGTTTTTTAAAATAATCTGAGTGCCAATATGTGAAATATACAAAAGCACTTGTGTTGCATACTGAAATATGATGTTTGTCCTGAAGAACACCACTTGTGTAATTGTTTGAGTTGTTGAGTTAAACTAGCCACTTTTTTTTCCCTGAAACACTGGTTTTACTTGAAGTAATGACATAGTTTTCAGACTTGGCTATTTGGCAAATATTTTCCCAAAAATAAATAATTGAGCTTGTGGATCTAAGGAAAACAATTGACAGCATTTCTTGCCTTAATCTGATAAAATTGAAACTTTCAAGTGAAAATGAGAATTTTGGAAAACTTACGCCCGTCACTGTGAGACTGACAACTTAAAAGACTTTTCTGATGAGATTGGTGGTGATATTTGCAAATGTGATTTTTAAAAATATTGTCAATATTTGTAAGATCTGTGTAACTTAGTGAACTAGTATTTTCCAAATAACTACTGCATGAAGTTGCAAAATAATGTACAAATAAAAGATGCAGTCAAAGTGTAAGATAAATCAGTAAATTTTAGTAACAGAGTATAAAAGTTATCGGTATGGTTACAGATTCCACATTACAACTAACCTTTAAGAAACTACCACTTTCTGAGTTTTAATGTAATATCAAAGAAGAATATTCATGAAAAGGCTATTTAAAAATTTTTCCCAACCATTCATCTGTGTGAGGCTGGATTTTCTTCATATACTTTAACCAAAACAATATATTGCAAGAGATTGAATGCAGAAGCAGATGTGAGAATCCAGCTGTCTTCTATTGAGCTAGATATTAAAGAGACTTGCAGAAATGTAAAATAATGCCATACATCTTACTAATTTTTTTTGCTTTGGAAACTATAATTATCTTTTGTAAAAAATGATGTTAATGTTAACATGTAATGAATGGTTTTATTACTTTTTAATGAACAGATAAATATTTTTTAAATCTCTCAGTTTTAATTTCTGATATGGTAAATATTAATAAATATAACCCACAAAACGCAAAAATTATTTGAGGTTCTCAGAATTTTTTTTTTTTGGCTGTGTTGGGTCTTCGTTTCTGTGCAAGGGCTTTCTGTAGTTGCGGCAAGCGGGGGCCACTCTTCATGGGGGTGCACGCCTCTCACTATCGCGGCCTCTCTTGTTGCGGAGCACAGACTCCAGACGCGCAGGCTCGGTAGTTGTGGCTCACGGGCCTAGTTGCTCCGCGGCATGTGGGATCTTCCCAGACCAGGGTTCGAACCCGTGTCCCCTGCATTGGCAGGCAGATTCTCAACCACTGCGCCACCAGGGAAGCCCTCAGTAATTTTTAAGAGTCTAAAAGAGATCAAAAAGTTTGGGAACTACTGATTTAATCATTCCATGTTGATGGATTTTAAAGTTATGTCCAGTTTTTTACTATTACAAACATTGCTGCCATGTACTTTTTTTCTTCATGTTTGTGTGATCATTTCAGTAGGATAAATTCCTAGAAGTAGAAATGCTGTGTTAAACGACAAGCACATTTTTAGTTTTAGATGTTGACAAACTGCCTTCTAACATAGTTGCACTAATTTTCCCAGAGCAGATGAAAGTACCCTTTCCCCATTAGTAATTAGCATTGCCAATTTCATAAATTAAAAGATGGTATTACATTTAAATTTTTTTCAAAGATCATTAGTAAAGTTATATATCTTTTTTTGGCTATTAGTTATTTTTCTTATTTTATAAATTGCTTGTATATCATTTTGTCCTTTTTTGATCTTTTTCTTAACTGATTTGGAAGAGCTCTTAGGACAGAGTGGCTTCTGATAGTCAAATAGTGCTGCAAATAATTTTCTCAGTTTCTTTAAATTTCATGAGATTTAAAATGTCAGAATATTTTTTTCCCTGTCACCATATTTATTCACATTTTCTTGTGGGTTTTATGTCATGTGTAGGTCTCACCTACACCAAATTATAAAAATACTTCTCTGTATTTTCTTTGCCTGATTGGTGATTTTTAGCCAGTTTGATTTAAATTAAACCCATCCTGGAAATGTGACAGCTCAGTTTTAGTCCTAATCTAAATAGGATCTGTAATTGCACATAATGGAAACTTAAATAATTTCAGAGGAAAATTTAGTTTAAAGATGCTGAATCAATTTAGAGATGTGATGTATCTCACACCCCACTGCCTTAACCCCCTAATATTGATATTTCCTTTCATCTGCTATTTTTCTGTAGTTGAGGAAACGTGTGAAACTTGAAGGGAAAGAACTTGAAGAATACTTGGAAAAAGAGAAACTAAAGAAAGAAGCTGCTAAAAAACTTGAACAGTCAAAAGAGTAAGTTGTTTTCAGACAGATTAGAAGTTTATCTAAGTAATTTGATAACTTATTTCTGGACAAAAACGTTTAATTGAAAATATTTAAATTTTCTTTTGACTTTATTACTTTTATTACATCTTTCCAGTGGTGCTAGAATACTAAATCCTTTCAGTGCTAACGTTAATTTACTAACTGGCTGTTAATGCTCTATGTCACGAAATATCAATCCAGTAATATTATCATTATCATTGAATTAATAGTGAATGTTAATTCATTAATAATTTTATAAATATTAATTAAAAGTCTTTTGGGGACTTTATGACCTTTATCTTTTCCCAAACTCCCTTAGGGCAGACATAGATTCCAGTGATGAGAGTGACGTTGAGGAAGATATTGACCAGCCATCAGCTCATAAGACTAAGCATGACCTGATGATGAAAGGTGAAGGTAGTCGTAAAGGAAGTTTCTTCAAACAGGCTAAAAAGTCTTATCCTATGTTTCCTGCCCCAGAAGAAAGAATTAAATGGGATGAATATGGAGAAATTATCAAGTATGTGAGCAAAACAAGTTTTTCTTTCTTACAGATTGGAGGTAGTAACTGTATTGTCATTCTAGCTCAAAGAATTTGGTCTTTCTGGTCATCATGTACTTAGTTTCTGAGTATCTCAGCTTGTAGTTTGAAATATAAAAATAGAAAGGTTGAGGAACATATAGAGAGTTAATAATAAAGGAAAACTGGTAGTTTTATTACTTAGGTATGTGAAATGTTTAAAATGATGATCAGGACTCTTTCATGCCCTCCCCACTTAAAAAGAGGTAAGGGATGTGCATTGGAGAAAAACATGATAGGAAGAACTTTTGATGGCTAAGGTTATGTTAAGTTTGGGAAATGGGTTATGTCTCAAGTAGTGTTGCACACATGTTTTAGTTACAAGAATAGGAGATAGTGTGAGTGGAACCATAGAAAATCTACCAAATCTATACCCACTATTAGAAAAACAACTGAAATCACACATTCTAATCACAGATTTGAAAACACTACTATCCTGAATAAAGATCAGTAAATGTCAACTGCCTTTTAGCATAATGCACGCTGTCTTTCACAATTTGGTTTCTCCCTACTTTTCTATTATATTTCTCTATATTTCTCTTACAGCAGTGTGTGTTCTCCACTCTGGTGGTTCCAGCCTTCTCTCAGTTTCCCCCTGCTCAGCTTTTTCATGTCATGCCTTTACCCATGTTCTTCCTTCAGCTTGGTTCTACCTTCCCATCCCAAGCTTTCAGGCTGCTGAATCTGGCCTCACAAACCACTGGAAAACTTTCCTGTCTCTCCCTTGCCACCGCAACACAGTTAGTTCCCTCTCTTTTACTTTCTTTGTAAATATCTTGAGCCTATGGTCTTAGGTCATCCTTGAATTTAATTAGGAAAATTCTACTGTTTACTTGGCCCTCTAAAATAGTAGGGAGAAAAACTAACAATCTAAACCGTATTGGTGAGTTTGCTTACCATTTCACTTAATTAATGGCCAATCTGTTTATCATATGGACAGTGCTCTTTAGCTTCAATTTTCTTATCTGAAATATGGGGGTAAGAATACAACGAGGTTATGCTTTTGAAGGCACTTAGCATAGAACCTGACTCATAGTAAACGCACTTTAAGTGGTTGCTACTACAGTTGTTATGTGGATTACAGTTGGAGATGTTGGGCTCCTGCAGCAATCTAGATGTTGGGTGACAGAGGCCTGGATTCTCAGGAGTGTGAGGGGATTTGGGGGTAGGGCATGATAAATATAGAGATTAGAGAGAACATTAAAAAAAGTTTGCTTTTTAATTTTAATGTAGAATTCTCTCTGATATTGGAAAATAGTTGTGCTAGTAGTTTGTTGAAATAAAGATGAAGGCTCTTGAGGGAGCTAATGATTTTGTATCTCAGGTTTCTCTGTAATGTGCAAAAATGGAGAGTCATCTGCTTTCGTCGGGCAGGGAAGGAATAATGTGGGTGTCTTAAGGAAACCAAAGGAGATCTGAGATTTATAAGGACTAGAAATTGACAAGAGAAACCACAGAAATTGAGAAAAAGAATTACTGAAACAAATGCAGGGCCAGATTGCAAGAATACTTATGATAGCCACTAAGGTCTTCTAACGATGTGTGTAGGTAGGGCCTTTTCACTCACCCACATGGTGTGTTTTAAAGTGTACTACTCCTTGATGGTCATGAAGAACGTAATACATGCAGTCATCTGATAATTGATATTGTGAAGTTGCACTGACTTTGGATCAAATGTGTATTTGAATCTTGATATATGTGAGGAGTCTAAAAATTATGCCATCTACTAATTAGTTGTATGTATTAAATAATATTGGCTTGCTTGTTACTGCTTCTAATTAGAGACTTTTTATTTAGACCAGAGGATTTCTTAGTGCCAGAACTTCAAGCTACTGAAGAAGAAAAAAGCAAATTAGAGTCTGGCCTGACAAATGGAGATGAACCCATGGATCAGGATTTATCTGATGTTCCTACTAAGTGTATTTCTACAACAGAATCTATAGAAATAAAGTAAGTGCTCTTGTTGCATTTTGAGCATAGATTAGGAGGTAAAATTTCAAGCGCTTGAGTCACATAATTTACATTCTTTCAAAAGTGAGATTTCTGAATATCCTCTAGTAAGTTTGTGCTTTTAAAATGTAATTTTTTTCTTCTTGTGAAGTATGGTGTTTTTTTTCCCTTCATTAATGATATTTGAATGCCAAAATGAATTGGTGGTGAGGAGGGGGTTAAACTTTAAATTGTACATGTATGTGAAAAAACATTCTTTCTGGTCTTTCTAGTAAGTCTAGTAGCAGGTGAGCTTATATAATTCCAAGTTTAATTTTTCTAAACTCTTGTTTAATAAAATAAACTCCTTGACTCAAACATCTCTGCGAGTGCATTAACATCTTAAAAATACCACTGTGTCTTAAAAATACCACTGTGTCTTAAAAATAACCACTGTGCCTTAAAAAATTGTGAACCTTTTTTTCTCTATTTAGTGCAGTTAACACCAGTAAATGATATTTTGGAATATAATTTTTAAAGTTATCAGAGAGCAAAGTGGCTTTTTGTCTAGTGGTATCATCTAGCATACATTCTTGGGTATGGCTAAAAGCTCAATAATACATATTAACAATATAACACGTGTATTCCTCAAATCCTCATTCTACATATTGATACATTTCTTTCCTGATGATAAAAGCCATTAAAAACCTAATTTTAGAATTAACTTACCAGAAAAGTAAGCTTGAATAATCATGTAATTACAGAGCCAGGGTTACTTACATAGACTATGAAGGACGCTCTGATGGGGATTCCATTAAAAAAATCATCAATCAGATGAAACCACGACAGTTGATCATTGTCCATGGACCACCAGAGGCCAGTCAGGATCTTGCAGAGTGCTGCCGTGGGTTTGGTGGGAAAGATATTAAAGTGTACATGCCAAAGCTACATGAAACAGTCGATGCCACTAGTGAAACTCATATCTACCAGGTAAGTATGCTGGCATTTGAGCCACATAGAAATAAGTACTTTTTGTTGCAGATTAGGACAGATAGATTAGGAATACGGTGGTGAGTGAAACAAATGTGGTCCCTTGTCCTAGCAGATTTTATAGTCTGTGGGGCTTGTAACAAGGAAATAGCATTTATTATACTGTTATACCTCTGATAGAGGAAGTACAGGATGCTATGAGTGTATAAAGAGGGAGATTCCAACCCAAATTTGGGAGGTTTAGAAACAGTTTCCCAGAGGAAGGGATAACTAGGCTGAATCCCGACGGCTATTTAGATGGGTTGTCAGGGTGGCATATAGAGTGGTAAAGAGAGGGAGAAAAAGTGTTCCAGGCAGAGGGAACAACATTTGTGAAAGTATAGAGGTGAGGGGAATGGGGAGTGTTTAGGAATTCAGAAGTTTTCTAAAAATTCACGGATGTTAAGGTTCTATTCCTAATTGAAAAAAATGGAGACAGGTATAGAAAACAGGAATGGCACGGAGGAAGGCTTGATTAACTCATATCTGGTAGTGGGAGATGGTATCAGGTAAGGCAAGAGTGGTGTCTATATTTGTTTGGAAAAAATGGATTGGAATTCACCAGGCAGCAGCGTCATTCTGGGCAGAACAAGAGGAAGCAGCGTTCCAGGAATATGGAGGTGTGAAACTGCGTGGTATATTGAGGAAACCCTAAGCCATTCAGTACTCCTGAAGTAGCATCAGGTCCTAGGGATGAGACTGATCAGTGGTTCTCCACCCCGGCTACACATCTGGAGAGCTTTGGGGGAGTCAAGGGCCTCAATGTTCTGGCCTTAGTCTCACCAGTTATATTAGAATCACTGGAGGTGGGACCCTGGCATTAATGTTAAAAAAAAAAAAAAATTCCCCTGTGGTCCCAATGTACAGTCAAGGTTAAGAACCTTAAGAAAGTAGACAGGGGCCCTATGATTTTACAGGCCATTAGGTCATTACCAGTTACAGTGAAGATCAGATGAATGAAAGATTTTCAAATTTTAATACACAGTACTAGAGTTAGAAAATAATAATAGGTCATATTTAATTGTTAAGTTATACTCTTTGGGCATTGTTTCTCTCCCTCCCCTCTGCATCATATCTAGGTGAGATTAAAAGATTCACTTGTCAGCTCCCTTCAGTTTTGTAAGGCAAAAGATGCTGAATTAGCTTGGATAGATGGTGTCTTAGACATGAGAGTTTCCAAAGTGGACACAGGAGTTATTTTAGAAGAAGGAGAACTAAAGGATGACGGAGAAGACTCAGAAATGCAAGTGGATGCTCCTTCAGATTCTAGCGTTATAGCACAGCAGAAGGCCATGAAAAGTCTGTTTGGAGACGATGAGAAAGAAACAGGTGAAGAAAGTGAGATCATTCCTACTTTGGAACCCTTACCACCTCATGAGGTAAAAAGCATGTGCTGCTTCTCTCTCTCCTTTAATTTGTCATCCTTTGAATGTTTTTTTAAATGTTTTTAACCATTTAAAATATGTCATATATGGGCTCATTTTGGAGTTTAAAAAAAATTACTCAAGATATGTCTCAGTGTGCGTGCGTATGACCTCTATGGCTAGAGAATGATAACGATAGTAAGGAAACCTGTAGCAGATCTTCTTATAAGATACATAATTGTTTCATGATTTGTTTTTCAGTATGGATTTTTAAATATTAAGTTTGATGATTGTGAGGGTCATCTACCTGCTTCCAGTCAGGAGATTTATAATTTTCTAAGAATGTCATACTCTTGTACTCCATTTTTGTGTGTTATTGATTCAACTTAACCACTTTTGGTTTTGATGCAGTTAGAAATCATTTACTTCCTATAGGAATAGTTTTAATCTAGTATTTTATTTACGTGTTCTCAAGAGATAGCTAGTTAACTGGCAGAGCTTCCAGGTAATTAACTTACAGCAATATTAAAACTATATTATGAGAGTCTGACACAACTGTCAAGTGATGTCTTTGGCCCTTCTATGCAGTAAAGAATGGAGAGACGGCCTCTGTCATTGGATTCCCTTCAAGTACAACAAAATTGTGGGGAGGAATTAGGAACTTTCTTCTCTCTGTGCTAAAGCTGGCGCGCGTCAAAGCAACTTCAGAGCATATGTCCTCTATGGCTAGAGAATATATTCAAAGCAGCGGCATTAGGTTGAACCGCTTGCCTTTCTGATTCTAAAACCCACGCATTCACTGTGAGGGAGGAAGGAAAGTGGAAGTGGGATCAGGGGAGAATTATCCTCTGAACTGTATACAAAGGACTGGGATCTGGAAAATGATTTTTTTTGTTCGGTTCTGCCTACTCGCACTCTAGTTGACCCCCTTAGGCAAGTGGGGGAGTGAAGAGCATAACATTATCAAACGGTGTTCTGTTATTGTGAGGCACGACTAATAAAATTGATTGTGAAACATTCAGAAAATGTGAAGGGCTTTGTAATGTAAAATAATGAGGTAAAATTCAGACTAACAACTTGGAATGTGATTTATAGTCTTGAAATGATCTGTCAAAGGAATTCAGGGGATAACAGGAAATATCTTAGAGATCATGTGTTATTTCACTTTATTCAGTACAACTGTGTGTCTGGTGTTTTATTTGAAGTTCTTCTTTCCCCTTTAACCTTATCTAAGGTTCCTGGACATCAGTCAGTTTTTATGAATGAACCAAGACTGTCGGACTTCAAACAAGTTCTTCTAAGGGAGGGGATCCAAGCTGAGTTCGTAGGAGGTGTACTCGTTTGCAACAATCAAGTAGCAGTCCGTAGAGTAAGTGTGTTTTTAAGAAGGGCTGAATTGAACAGATGCTCCTGATGTTTAGTTATTTTGAATTCTATAATGCTTGATTGAATTAATTTTACAAACTGGAGATCAGTAATTTATAGTGAAGACATCACATTTATAGTGATGACCTTGATGACTTTTAAAAGTGACTCTCAAAGACGTGATATATAATTTTATTGTAAATTTTTATTATTTGACTCCTGTGACATTTATGTGTCTATGTAAAATTCATGGCTTGAATATTATATCCATATTCTGTGAATCAGAGCAGTCCATTTCCTAATCAGTCATAGAGCAATCTAGTTAATATATTTTGGTTATTATGTCTGCATATTAATGGATAGAAAGTCTGCTAAATAACTTATTTTTTTACTTGGTTTCTAGACGGAAACTGGACGCATTGGATTAGAAGGCTGCCTTTGTCAAGATTTTTATAGGATAAGAGACCTTTTATATGAACAGTATGCCATTGTGTAAAGGACATGATGTCAAGAAGTATCTGTTTGACCTTTCTAAGAAAAAAGGATTCTTACTCTAAGCTTTTGCATTTTCATTTTGTAACATACAAAAAGAATCTGCCAGAAAAACTTAACATGCATTAGATTTTTAAAAATGTAAATAGAAACCATATTGCTAATGCTGAAATGAGCATGCTACCTTTTGGCTTTCAGAGTGAGAGATCCTTACAAGTGTGCAGGCCCTGGAGTTGAAGGTGATTGGCTTCTTTTAGAGACCCCTTATTCTAGAAGGGCTTGTTACTTGAATAAAACAATGCAACTTAGCAAACCAGTTCATGGCCTTAGAGAAACATGTTTGCATGAATTCTTGCAAACTGTTTCTTATATTTTCTGGAATGAAAAATGAGAATTTATCTTAAAAAGATGCACTATAAGAAAACCCTGATGAAACAGTTTTTTGAGCCTATGTATTTAAAAAACAAAAAAAACAGAGTGTGTGCTGTAATTCTTTTGAATTCCTGTATGCAGTTTTCTTCACAGGGAGCTTATCTACTCCATGCCTACATTTCCCAGTAATTCAGTCTACTGTGAGATGGTACACATTTGGTTCAGAAACCAGTTTTTATTTCTCCCATTTCCTTTTTTATCAAGATTTTGTTGTTGTTGTTCAGCTTGAATTATAACACCATCATTTGAATATACATAATTCAGAAAAACTCCTTGACGTGTTCTAGTCTTAAAGGTCCTGCATACATTTTAAACACATCTTAACTATCAGCTAGGTTACTGTACTGGAGACTGTTTTGTGCTTTGCTTTTAGGGAAACAAATGTTGAACCTCATATTTTTATAAGGTAGCAGTATAATTAAAAGGTGTAAAGGTCTTCATCTCTTAGGCTTGCTTTCTCCTAAGGTTGCCCAAGCAGTGGTTGGATTTTATACACATTACTACAGAAATAATACTGAAGTTGAATAAGGCCATCCATTCTATGTTCATCTCTTTCTTGGGGCTAGCATCCCTGATACAGTATAAACCACTTGTGTTTAAGAGTAAAAACAGTATATGCAGTTCTCATTGAACTTAAAAATGAAAGTCATGTCACCCTATTGTAATCTGTGGGTGCTTTTTTAGAATGTAGCTTAATCACGACAGACCTTGATGTTTATTTTCTTATTTAAACCCTACTCTTTACACTTAAGCATTTTTAGAAGGGTCAGATTTCTTGTTTAACTTATATGGAACTATGTATAATACAACCCAGTGATATCAGACAAGAATTAATATTTCACTCTATTTCAAATGCTTAGAAAGCTTTTATTGTGAGTTAAATTGCTAATGCAAAGTTTACAGCCTTCTGGTACTGAAAACCAGACACACAAAACAAGTTACAGACGATGAAGATAAAGAGTATGTTTTCTTTGCAGAGCTTTGAAAAAAAAATCACTTAAACTCTTACTACTGAATAGAGTAAGCCTAGAATCCTATTTATATTCGAGGGGAAAGAAAGTCTGCATTTGTTCCATGGCTTAAAGCATCTGGTTATACATATTACATTGCAATAGTGATATTGAAAAATTGTCTCTTGCCTAGCATTTTTATTGTCCTATGCACAGGAATTAAATTTTAAAGTACTGCTTGAAGATGGCTGTGCTAACTAATGTCAATGCAGGAGCAATATTTTTACCTGTTTCTAGATGACAGTATTACTAAAATTTCTAAAATGAAGGCATTTGTTTAGTCTCAGTTACTTAAGAAAAATATAAATTTTAAAAAGGACTCTGAGGTAAATCATGAACTCAGAGGCACTTTCAGGTCGTCATTGCGCAGAGGCAAAATAAATACAATGGACCATCAGCTGATAGCTATAATTTGGTTAAAAAGAAATTTTGTTGTAATATTTGTGGCAGTGGGATTATAAATGTCAAGTATCATTGCAAACTTTCTATATTTTCATGAACCAGTAGGTGGCCTGAAACAGAAGTGAGAAAATGTTTTCTAAGGAGGGCCTTTACCTTTTTTAAAAAATTTGAGATACGATTCACATACTTTTAAAGTTCACTCTTTTAAAGTTACATTTATTATTATTTTTTAGTATATTTACAGAGTTGTGCAACCATTACCACCATCTAATTCCAGAATACTTCATCGCCCCAAAAAGAAACTCGGTACCCGTTAGCAGTCACTCCCCATTCTCGCTTCTCCTCAGCCCCAGGCAAGCATTAATCTATCTTCTGTCTCTATGAATTTACCTATTCTGAACAGTTCATAAAAATGGAATCACACAGTATGTGGCCTTTTGTGTCTGACTTCTTTCACTTAGCATAACTTTTAAGATTCATTGATGCTGTAGCATGTATCAGTATTCTTTTTATGGCTGAATAATATTCCATATAGATATACTGCATTTTGTTTATCCACTCATCAGTTGAGAGACATTTGGTTTGTTTCCACTTTTTGGCTATTATGAATAATGCTGTTATGAACATTTGTGTACAGGTTTTTTGTATGGGCATATGTTTTCGATTTGGGGAGGCATATACGTTAAGAGTAGAATTGCTGGGTCATATGGTAACTCTGTGTAACCTTTTGGGAAATTGCCAGACTGTTTTCCAAAGTGACTGCACCATTTTACATTCCTATGTCCTCTGCAACACTGGTTACTCACCATCTTTTTTATTTTAGCCGTTTTAGTGTGTGTGAAGAGGTATCTCATTGTGGTTTCGATTTGCATTTCTCTAATGACTGATGATTTTGAGCTTCTTTTCTGTACTCATTGGCTGTTTGTATATCTTCTTCGGACAAATGTCTGTTCAGATCCTTTGCCTATTTTTAAATTGGGTCATTTATCTTTTTATTGTTGAGTTAAAGAGTTTTTTATACACTCTGGATACTAAATCCTTATCATATGTATGATTTGCAAATTTTTTTTCCCATTCTGTTTGTTTTTTCACTACCTTGATAGTGTCCTTTGAAACACAAAAGTTTTTAATTTTGATGAAGTCTTAATTTATCTGTTTTATTCTCTGGTCCCTTGTGCTATTGGTGTCATATCTTAGAAGCCCATTGCTTTTTTTTCCCTGAGAGCTTTATGGTTTAATATAGTTCTTACATTTAAGTCTTTGATCCATTTTGAGTTAACTTTTATGTATGATATGAGGTAGGGGTCTGATTTCATTCTTTTGCATTTAGGTATCCAGTAGCCCAGCATCATTTGTTGAAAAGACTATTTCCTCATCAAATTTTCTTGCCACCTTTGTTGAAAATCAGTTGCCCATGAGTATACGGCTTTGTTCTTGGATTCTCAATCGTATCTCACGGATGTATACATCTATCCTTATGCCAGTATTGTTTTTAATACTGTAACTATGTATTAAATTTTGAAATTGGCAAGTGTACATCCTCCACCTTTTTTCTCTTTCAAGATTGTTTAGGCTGTTCTGGTTCCCTAACATTTTCATATGAATTTTAGAATCAGTTTATCAATTTCTGTAAAAAGGCCACTCACTTTTAATAGGAAAAAAAAGGTACTTGAAATTTAGAGCTTAAAATCTTAGAATGTTATGGCTGAGAGGGACTATAGAATTCATCTAGTTCAACACGCTTATTTTAGTATTGAATGAATGGGCCTATGGGAGGTAAGGGGTTTGCTTGAGTCAGATAGCTGGTCAGAGACAGAGTTGGAATTGGAACCTAGCCTTCATAGAATCCGTTCATTTTATATTAAATGAATGAATCTAGAATCCTTATAGAATCCATTGATTCAATACTAAAATAAGTATGTTGAACTACATGAGTTCTGCAGTTCCTCTCAGGCATAACATTCTGAGATTTTAAGCTGTAAATTTCAACTACTTTTTTCCTTGCACTGCTGTGCTGCTTCGCTTCCTTAGTTATATTCACTTTGCTTAGGGGGAATATGTTCAGTTTATCTGCTCTCAGAACAGCATCTGGCAGCTGTTACTTAGGACAATAGCCTGCTGAGAGAGAGACTGCTTCCATTCTGTGTGATGGCCAGTGAAGGTGGGGAGGGCGGGGAGAGAAAGGGTAAATGTCACCTTCTGTACCTTTCTTTGGTTTTAAGGTTCTAGAGTTTTATCACACGGTTATTGTCCTTTAAGTATTGATGAACTCATTACCACTTAAGTCAAAGGGTGTAAATAGTGGTTAGTAATTCAGTGATTGAGAGGTTGATTGTTTGCTTGTTTGTTTGCGTGGTGGTGGTTCTCTGCCACCCCTAACCCCTTCTTTATTCAGCCATTTGATAACTACAAAGTGGATGGCTAAGTGACGATGCAGTGCGAACTAGAGAAGGAATCTTCAGATCTGCCTACCTGGGCAGGGATCAAGGAAAAGTTTTTTTCCTTCTTCTTTTGCTTTTCTTTCACTCTAACCACGTGAATTGTGTTTGTGAGAAAATACCCCAAATTGTCACAGTAAAAACCCAGGACTTTGCTGGAAATGAGGGTATCTTGGCTTCTCTCTCCTGTTGGTCCCCCCTCCTCCCCGCCCCATTCCCACACAGCTCTATTTTTTTGGTGCTTTTTCCTTCACTACTCAAGCCCATTTCATTTTAGTTCTTGAAGTCAAAATGTGATTTCGAGGAGCAAAATAGGAGTTTGGAGAGTTTTAAATCTCTCCTCATTGTAGTTGAAGAGAACCGAAAGTGTATGTGCTTCTTTTGTGACATTGTTAATGGAATTCTATGGATCCTACTCAAACATTTGATAGTGAGTGATAGTTTCAAGCAGGGAATACACAAAGGATTGATAAGGACGTACTACATCGCTTTCTGAGGTTATTTTAATGTTCAATATCCAATTTATTGTGTGCATTTCCTTTTTCTTCTTGACACAATTTTTTTTTTTTTTTAAAGGCACCTCTAATTGTACATTCAAAACTAGTGAAGTCCTTCAAACAAATCTCTATGGGAAGCTGTTTTTATTCTAAGGGTGCTGCCTGCTGTCCTTGTTTTAAATATTTTTGGAGCTCTCATTTCTCTTCAGATTCATTTACCGAGCTTATGAGAAATGTAATTTATCTTAGAAACACATGTGGTCTTGGCCCAACATATGCCATTACCATTTGACTCTAAATGACCACCCCCCCAATATTTAAAAGCTCTTCTTTTATGGACAGACATTTGGTATCATAGGAGATTTTTTATATTAAAAAGTTATCTATTAAAAACCAAACTATAATGAAAATAAAAGCAGTGGAATATACCAGAAATCATAAAGATGCTGTCATTCCCAACATCATCAGTAGGTCATTGTTCAGGTTAAATTTCCTACTCAAGTATCAAAGGATGTATGTCTCTAATGAGATTATGGAAATCCTCTATCAGTTATAAGAAAAACAAATTACCTAAATGTATAGGATTCAGATTCTCAAGGTTTTTCAATATCTCCCATATGTAATTTTTTCCAAGGAGACAGACTATTGTAGGAAGAAAGAAGTTATGTTTAATGAGAAAGATTCAGAACATTGTGCATTTTTAACTATTAAGCAGAATCTTATATCTACATTATTGCCCATTAAAAAAAACTTCTTTCACATTTATTTCAAATATTCTTTTGAATAGTTTTACCTGAGATAAGGAAACCATTAAGCAGAGATTTTTCTAGTATAAAAACCAGTGTAATAAATTCATAATAGCTAAAAGACCACTTGTGTGTGTCTTATTTTCTAACTTATTATTTTGAAATAATTTTAAACTGACAGAAAAGTTACAAGAATAGTTTAAAAGATCCTATATATCATTCCCTAGGTTCCCCTGTTGTTAACATTTTGCCGTATTTATTTATCATTCTATCTATATATACATATTATTTTTTGAATGGTTTGATACTAAGTAGCAGTTATGACGTCCCATTAGCCATAAGCACTACAGTGTGTATTTTTTAAAAACAAGGACTCTCCTGCATAACTACACTACTTCCATCAAAGTCAGGAAACCAATGTTGATGAAATTCTGCCATTTAATCCACAAACCCCGTTCACATGTTACCAGTTAGTCCAGAATGTCCCTAAAATAACCCTTTCCTTTTTGGTCTAGGATCCAGTCCAGGATGATGCATGTGTTTAGTTATGTTTTCCCTTCAGTCTTCCTCAATCTGGAAGACTTCCTCAGTTTTTCCTTTTTTAAAATTTATTTTTTTATGACCTTGACATTTTTGAAGAGTGCCGATCAGTTACTTTGTAAATGGCCCTTCCTTTGAGTTTGTCTGATGTTTCCTCATGATTAGATTCAGGTTATGGGGTTTTGACAGGAATACTAGAGAAGTAAATGATGCTTTGTTCTTCTCTGCATTATATCAGGAAGCACATAGTGTCAATTTTCCCCATTACTGGTGATGTTAATTTTTCATGGTTATGTTTCCAAGGTTTCTCCACTGTCAAGTTAATAAATATTTTGTGGGGAGCTACTTTGAGACTATGTCAATATCCTGTTCTTTATAAATATTTATCCTCTAGTTTTAGAATCTATTGATGATTCTTATCTGAAGAAATCAGATAAGATTGCCAAAAGGTGATTTTCTTATTACACTGTGGCTTCTACATTTATTTGACATTCTAGTGTAAGCACATTCTCTTCTCCCCCATTTGTTTGTTCATTATTTATATTGGTGTGGAACATGGATTCTGTTTTATAATCTACAAACTATCGTGATTCATGTTGATGCTACAGTTTTCCTCGATTTGGCTAAGTGGGAGCACTTTTAAGCTGGCTTCTGTGCTCTTTTGACATGGTCTCAGGTTCTTTTTTGTTTGTTTTAATTGTGGTAAAAAACATAATATTAAATTTACCATCTTAACCTTTCTTAAGTGTACAGGTTCAGTAGTGTTACGTATATTCACGTTGTTGTGCGACAGATCTAGAACTTTTTTATTTTGCAACACTGAAACTCTATACCTGCTGAGCACTAATGTTCTCGCTTGCCTTCCCGCAGCCCTTGGTAATCACCTTCCTACTTTCTGTCTCTATGGTCTGATTGCTTTAGATACCTAATGAGTGGAACAGTACAGTAGGTGTCCTTTTGTGAGTGGCTTATTTGACTCAGCATACTGTCCTCAAGGTTCATCCATGTTGTAGCATGTGACAGGATTTCCTTCCTTTTAAAGGCCGCATAATATTCCACCGTCTGGTTGTACCACATGTTCTTTATCCATTCATTTGTTGATGGACATTTGGGTTGTTTCCACCACTTGGCTCTTGTGAATCATGCTGCAGTGAACATGGGTGTGCAAATATCTCCTTGAGATCCTGCTTTCACGTCTTTTGGATAC